AGGTAAAATGTTATTAAAAGAAAGTTACATTGTCTTTAAAAGTCAAAATGTTGTTAAAAGTTAGTGCCGCTGTCATTAAAGTCAAACCAAGAGTTACCTAAAGCATTAAAAGCAATTTACACAGTAAAAAGTGTTTCATCATGAGAAAATAGGTATATGTGCATACTGCCCATCTTCGTTCACTCGGCTCCCGTCGGTGATGAACGCAGTGAAAACCGGAGTGTGCGAAGATGCATACCGCCCTAATTTATCCACTATATTAGATTAGGTACATAAATCTTATATCTCACATTATATTTCGAGATGTTCTAATGGGAGCAATTTGTCTAACAGGTCTCTATGTCCTAGAAGTTAGACCCATCTTCTGTTAATCACTGTAAGATAATATACCCATATGTTTCCATTGACATTCTCTTGGTCCCATAATGCAAACATTTTAAAAGATCCAGACTGATAATTAAAAATTTCCTGATCTTGCCCAAAATGTCCGTCTGCTTATGGTTCTTTTATCGCTCTATTTCTCTTTAAAATTTGAAAGAAGTGTTCAATTTTCTTGCATTTTCTTACCATTTTAAGGGTTGACTACATGTGTGAATGTGTGAATGGTCATCCCCATTTCTCTTTAATTTGTGTTTTAAAACTTGACCTCCCTGATACTTATTGCATGAGATTCAAGCGTCCCTATTGTCCAATAGAGAGTGATTATCTATTTGGGAAAATCCCATCATTAATTCAAAAAATGAATCATTCAATTTGTCTATTTTGCATTTTATCTCTAAATTTTTGAATAAACTTTTGAATTTTCTGGCATTTTTTATATAATTTAGAATGCTGACGACGTGCCTATGTATTTCATTTCTCTCTGATTTTAATCTGTTTCACTGTTATTTACATTTGAAAACTTGACATGATGCAATGGCATTTTTCTGGTACTCAAACAAGATATTTCCTGTTAATACTCTAGGGCCTGATAAATTAATAATCTATTGTGGTTTGGGAATATTTCATATTTGTTTACAAGAATGCCATCTCATGGTGTGCACCAGCACCACTTTGGGTCACTTTGGGCTCTATAAGCAGTAAGTCTCATTTTTTATCATCTTGATCCTTTTAGTATTTTTATGGCACTACTTACTATATTACAAATTTGCCTATGGGCACTTGATACTTTTGAAACACACTTATTTTTACTTACATGAGTATCTATACTTGGTATCTATACTTGTATAGTACCTCTAAAATAAAAATATTAATGATTATTTTACAGTACATTTATAAAGTGAATAATTGATCAGATTTGGACCTGGAGTATTTTTGCCTTTGTGAAATGGTTGCATTTGTTCCATAGGTGATTTTTAATTAACCTTTATAGTATTACAGTGTTTCATCTAAAATTATATGAAGACTTCGATGGCATACTCATTTTCCTTTATTCTGGTAGAAGCCATATATATATTATGTATGACTTTAAAAGGGTGCATTTTCACAAAAAAACATGTTTTATGTATGTATTTTGTTGTGTATAAGTGTAATTTTATTATACTTTTTATTCTTTCCCGATTACTTTCTGTTGTTGTTGCTATACTCACATGGGATAACAGCACTTAAAAGTACTGGTTGCCATGGTTACCAACATATTATACTAATCATGGATATAATGATTGCTCTTTATTCCTAAATACTCTCATCATTGTACCATAAAATTATGATTAATTTGTTTGAAAAGCTTTTTATTATTGCTTTGAGCTTATGAGGGCAATCTTTCTTGCAGGAACAGCTTTGGAAGTGAAGTCAAAGTGTATTAAGTGTACTAGATGTACTAATCCTTAGTGCAGTGACTTAGCTTGTATTTGCGAATGCGACTAACGCCTGTCGGCTACCGGATTAACGTACTATTTTATGACCAACTCATTTAATATGAATGAAATAGTGGCTATTAATAGGTACTATTCATATTTAAATGAGTTACCCATATAATAGTACCTGTTAATCCGGTAGCTGACAGGCGTTAGTTGCATTCGCGAATACAAGCTTAGCTAGGATCTTAATAGGTTGCAGTGAGTCAATTATTTATCAAAGAGGCAGTTTTTTGTCAATGAGGCAAACATGATTGGCTGGTCTTCCATAAATAATGACTTATTTAATGTCTTAAATAATGAAAAGTCAGTTTTCAACCTGACCATATTCTTGTACTATATTATATCACAACCACAAGTCCGGGCCTGTAGCCAGGAGGGTTTCGCCCGAACCCCTCAAACTCACCCTGGCTACGGGCCTGCAAGTGCCTTTTAACTTAACTTATGTTAAGGTCATTCCCTTAGGAATCGGCATCCTATTTATTCTTCTTCCAATCTTCTTATTATGGATGATTATTATATAATATTAATTCTGTTATCTATTATCTTCCTCCAAACTTCCTTCCTTTCCTTATTAAGTTACATAATTGGCCTATTTATACAGTCATTCATAATTTAGATGTCTAAAATCATTATTCTGAGATATACAGGGTAGTTTCGCAAGGAATTACCTTTTACCAGATTAATTCCTGAATTGCTGGCTTCAATTTTCTTAAAAGTATAGTTTGCCTTTTTTATCAACATGGTCACTCCTAGGTTAAACTGTCATTATCAGATCATTATCATTATTACATAGTATAATACATGCATTAGTACCTCATTATCAGGCAATTTACACAGATGGCTTTAATAAGGTGCAAAATTTGTACTAAATGTCGCAAACATCCCCACACTAAGCGTCAATGTTTCCGAGTCTGTGTTTGAGCCCGACTCTAACTCAACCAATCTCAGTTCTTATTGGCTCTTTGAAAAAAGAATTATCTGACCAAATATGCCAATTGTAATACAAAACAGAACTGCCGACAACACATGCTTGGCTTTTGAAATAAATTGAATATGAATAAGTCTATCAGAGTAATTAGAAGAAAAAAATATAACGAAGTCTTTGTAAAGTGCATATGGCCCAGCCAGGGGATCATTTTGACCCATTGGCCCATTATCACATCATTATTTAAGAGTATATAATACAATGTAAATACCTCATTATCAGGCAATTATACTGATGTTTTTGAGAATCATCTGTTCTTGTTATTATTATGGTATACTGTTATCGAGTTGGCTACCAGTTTTGTTCAAACAATTTTTTCTTGTAAAATCCAGGGGTTACATTAGCAGCAGGCAACAGGCGATTTTCACCAGTTGTTTTCACAAAATCGCCTGTTGTTTTTAGGGACTTTTCCATGTTAAATTTATGATTTCCATTGATTTTGCCTGTTGTTTTCATTTATTTAGCCTGTTGTGAGAAATTCTAGTGAAACACCTGTAATTTAACAATTTTGACTAATCTCTACACGTGATACCACCATTGATACTGAATATGTGCAACTTCATTTTCTCCAAAAATGGTGAATGTCATTGGTAATATAATGCTGTGGTTTCACTTGCTCCAATCTTCAACACCTGCGCAAGGCCGATGTGTATTTTGTTCAAAACTGAAGGCAATTTTGAACAAATTGCTAATCGGCCGGGAACCAGTATCGAAAATTCGAACAAATGTGACCACGGCGTTAACAAAAATTCTTGAATAGCCTTGGAATTTCTCATCTAGAAATTATCTCTAATTTAAGAGTTTGGACAAGTCAATTTCTGTTCAAGGGTAATGATTGAGTTCTACCAATTAGCTTCTGATGAAATAGTCGAAGAGTGTAACGATAATTTCAAATTCACGTAAAAGATGCACTTGTTATCTGAGAAAAGAATATTGGATAGAATATTTTCGCTGAATATCCATAAAAACCTTCTTGATGGCTTTCCTAGAATAAAATCTCTTGGAAATCAGATTCTGGATAGCAACTTAAAATATACAATACAAAATGACTGAAATTAGCAAGGATAAATAAAAGGGAAGTTAGATAATTCTATTAATAGTACAGAAATGTCAAAATCAGGCACATCATTCGAAAATGAGAAAACCTATATGAAATAACAAATTATGACATTTAAGTCCTGGCCTGCCAGAGCTCAGTTGCCGTAGTAACCATTGGCTATATGAGCTCGTAAATAAGATTTAGTACAGCCTAAAACATCACCCTGATTATATGCACATTGATCTTTACATAATACTGTATTCTGTGGTAACAATATAGACAAACCTAATCAGGTCACCAGTAACAATCAAAAGGGAGATCTGTAAAGATTAGATGAGTGCCCCCCCCCCCCTCCTAAGAAGGGCCCAGCAAAAAAAATTAGGGCCCCAATAAGTAGGCCTTTTGTGGCATTATTGGGCCTTTTGGGGCCTAATTTTTAATTCTAGGCCAAATTATCAGGAAAACGGGCCTTAATTTTCAAAGTTTGGGCTTTTTGTTGGGTGTAGGGGCCCAAAGTTTTTTTCCACACTTCTTGCTAGTTTTCAGATCTGCCCCTAAAGTTCAAAGAGATTAGACTGTCAGAAAGATGGCACTGGTGGTTCCTGTTTTTGTACATTCTCATAAATGTACATAAAAGGGCTGATCACTGACTGTAACAAATAGCAGGTGGTGACATTCTGCATGTTATATAAATAAATTATATTATTACACCAATCCAGTAAATTTTGCCTGCCTGAAAACTAAGCCATCATAAGTGTGTCTATTATATCAGAGTTTGCTTGGTTCACCAAAAGAGGTCAGAATATATTTGCAAGCTTCTTGCAGATAGACTGCTACTATTGGCCTGTAGTCCCTCGCTTAGAACTTATTAGATTTTGGAGTTGTGCTTCGGATTTAAGACCAGCTGGTCAAAATGACACGAGGGACTTAATAGGATAACTAATATTTATTTCTCTATTACAAAACAATAACAGCCAGTGTGTATCTAGGGTAACATGGGAATGACCAGTGTATTAGCCCATAATTTGATTCTCCTGAATCAACTATGCGAGTCGATATAATCTTGATTTTCATCATTAGTATTCAAAGTTTAACTCCATATTTTATGTATTTCCAGAGATTACTAAAGATACAAGTGGAAGTCGAACAACGACAAATGAATACTCAGACGACGATTTTGACTCTTATTCTAATACGGATAGTAGAATCTCAAATATGAATTCCTCTAGAGACAGTCATGGGGTTTCCTCTGGGGTTTCCCCCAGGGGCAGGGGCAATCAGCAGACGGATAAATATCAGCCTGAAATGGACTCAAGAGATGGTTACCGGGATACCGATCCTAATCCCAGTCAACAATCTCAGAATCCAAAATCCCCGAATTGGGATCAAGATTCAAAACGAGGCTCTAGTCACTATAGTAACCAATCAAACAATATGGATACTAGTTCCGGTAAAACGAAATCTAGAAAAATGGGAATTGTGCAGAATATGGATGTGCAAGATTCGTTAGAGTATGATGAGGACTCATATGAAAGTGATATAGATTTTACTGAAGGTGAAGTTCGGATATTTATTGCATTGTTTGATTATGATCCTAAATCCATGTCACCGAATGCAGAAGAATGCGAGGATGAACTCCCATTTAAGGAAGGGCAGCTCATTAAGGTAAGACAAACTCAGCGAAGTTGTACTGTTGTAATATAATGCCTCAAGTGAGGGGGGGCTAAGAAAACTCCCACTGATTTCAATGTTATGAATCTGAAAATTGGGGTCAACTTGCCGCTAATGTTACAAGCCATTGATAATTGTACTGTATATCAAATATCTGTATGGAAAACTAAAAAAATATTTTTTCATTTTTTAAATTCAGATCTTTGGAGAGAAAGATCCTGATGGGTTCTACAGAGGTGAGAGCAAAGGTTGTCGTGGATACGTACCATGTAATATGGTGTCAGAGGTCGAACCTGAGCTTGCAAAACAACTCCTTAATGAGAACATTGAGATTGGTGGCTATGATGAAAAATCTCCAGGAATGGGCAATAATAGAGGTATGTACTGGGCAATAATAGAGGTATGTACTGGGCAATAATAGAGGTATGTACTGGGCAATAATAGAGGTATGTACTGGGCAATAATAGAGGTCTTCCAAGGAAACTGCTCACTCATTCAACTTTAAATTTTTACAGATGCAAGAGCAGATTAGTGTCAACGTCTGATTAGATTTTGGGCATGCTGGGTAAATTACAAGGCAGCCATTTTGCTCTTCTAAGTGTCTTGTTCATTTAAATGACATCGCCACAAATACAAGCATATGCATAGAATAACAAATATTACTGAAACATTACAGTGTTTGATCATTAAGTTAATAGAATTAAATGAATCGTAATTCCCAATAATTCCGAGATGCAAGCTCTTGTTTACTCAGTGCAAATCTCCAAGAGTCTATAAAACACAGTAGAACATGTCTAATATAAACACCACTGGGGCTGGCTTTAAGTGTTCAGATTAGCAGGTGTTCACATTTCAAGGTTTATTATATAGTAAAACCTTTTTAAGTGATCACCTTTGGTACCTCTAAAACATGTTCCACTTGGGAGGTGTTTCACTTGGGAGGTGTTCCACTTACATTTTCATTTAACATAAGTCAGTTAGTCTTGGGACTCTGAGAAGTGAATAGTGGTCCACTTACAGAAATGTTCCACTTCTGGAGGTTTTCCACTTAACAGGTTTCACTGTTTATTTATTTGTATTACATACCCAGCGAAGCATTTGTATTGAAGTCAATGGAGCTGAAGGTCGGCTATATATTCCTGTATAGCCGCCAAACCTTTTACCATGACAATCTTATGCAGCATCGGGACATCATGTTTCATTTCTTCCTAATTTCACTCGCACACAGACACGTGGCGTCATTGATATAACGTAGCCATGATATAAAAGTATGTAATACAACAGTTATGTCCCTATCATTGAATATATGCCTTCCATCTGTCGTAATATAACCCTCGCAAGCTCGGCTATATTGGTGACAGACCTTAGGCATATAAATATATGCCTTCGGTCTGTCGTAATATAACCCTCGCAAGCTCGGGCTATATTGGTGACAGACCTTAGGCATATAAATATATGCCTTCGGTCTGTCGTAATATAACCCTCGCAAGCTCGGGCTATATTGGTGACAGACCTTAGGCATATAAATATATGCCTTCGGTCTGTCGTAATATAACCCTCGCAAGCTCGGGCTATATTGGTGACAGACCTTAGGCATATAAATATATGCCTTCGGTCTGTCGTAATATAACCCTCGCAAGCTCGGGCTATATTGGTGACAGACCTTAGGCATATATTCAATGATAGGGACTGCTAAGAATATGTGAGTCAGTTTGGGAATACAAACTTAGGACCAGGAAAAAGTGTTCATATTGAGAGGTGTTTGGATCAGAGAGGTGTTTGGATCAGAGAGGTGTTTGGATCAGAGAGGTGTTTGGATCAGAGAGGTGTTTGGATCAGAGAGGTGTTTGGATCAGAGAGGTGTTTGGATCAGAGAGGGGATTGGATCAGAGAGGTGTTTGGATATGAGCGGTGTTTGGATCAGAGAGGTGTTCGGATATGAGAGGTGTTTGGATATGAGAGGTGTTTGGATATGAGAGGTGTTCGGATATGAGAGGGGATTGGATCAGAGAGGTGTTTGGATATGAGCGGTGTTTGGATCAGAGAGGTGTTTGGATATGAGCGGTGTTTGGATCTGAGAGGTGTTTGGATCAGAGAGGTGTTTAGATATACAGGTTTTCCTATTAGTTTTCCAGGGTAATTTCTACATTCTGTTATCATGTCCAGATATTGATACATTAAATAATTCATTGTAACATGATCATAGCTACATGCCTACTAATTTAATTCATTCATTCAATGAAAGTAGAAAGCAGACTTAACCTGTGCCATTAGTGATTCTCTGTTTATTAATGTATATCTAGTCTTTCATCAACTGTAACAAGGCATAGAGATCAATAGAATCGGGAGTGGGGATCACACGTTTCATGCAATATCACTTGATATACAGTGTGTAAGGGTTATATACTGGGTGGTTTTGGATACATGGTTTATCCTGAGGGAAATATGTGTATCTCCCAAGAAACTGAATGGACCAAGGGATATATGCATGTTTCCCGATTGATAAACCTCAGTAGTTATAGGATACTCTGCATTTTTTCATTGAACTTGAATTCAAACAAGGGCGTTATATTATAATACCTGGGAATTTATTGGTGCACGCAGTACATGTCTGTGAAAGCGCCATCTGAAGGTCACTGTGCTAAACTTTCTCAGGTCATCGGGTTAAATCATATCGATAATCAGTTTGCGTGTGCGCGCAGCTCATCCACTGAACAAAACGAAACTACCCACTGACTGATATCAGCGGGTATTGATTTTTCCCTTGATTCAAGTATGTGTATAACAAGACCCATGAATCAATAGAATGGGAAGTGGTGGGCCACACATTAGATGCAATACCACTGATCACATTCACAGCATATAGGACTTGTATCAATTGCTTACTCTTTAATATCATTGGTAATTATAGGAGTCTCCCTTGCATTAAAGAAAATAAAAGGCACTGCTCTTAAATGACTTTTTTGATACCCTTTGCATTCATTTGACTTCACTTCTTAAAAGAGAGAGTTGTTTTCACTCTTTCAGTTTACAATAAATCTCTGATCTCATCAAGCCAATCAGAGTTTGTCATCGAAATATGGACGACTTCTGTATAGTCATTTCCTATGACATCACCGCATAGTTAAGGAGCATGTATTTAGCATGTGTTCCTTTCACTTCGCTGATTGGTTGAGAAAGGGTCAGCATGGTAGATTTGTCATGATTTATTAACCAAGCTGTCGCAGGCACCAATCTTTGGGGCGGGGCTGCTAAACTGTAATATAGTATATACTAGGCAGAGGGTAGTTTATAACTAGACTCTGCGTGCAGGGTACATTTTTAATGAGGCTTTCGAACTCTCTTAAAAATACCAATTATGGTGACAGGCGTATTTTGACCAATTTTGATGTGAAATTGAGAAATCTTTGAGAGAACACTGATGTTATTCTTTATATTTTTTGTTTCTCTGCTCTGTTTCAAATTGGTTCTTCATGATTCATCCATTTTATACACATGTACAGTACAACCAAAATGATTCAGCCGCCTGTAAGTATAATTTCTATTAAGAGTTACCGAAATGATCACATAGAAAATCAATATGACCCTTGTATTAACATGGCCTTGGTAGGCTTCAAATCGTTCTACTCATGCAACAGAAATATTAATTTACGATTTCTCTCGGGTAAAACTTCCCTTATTTGAAAACATCCCTTATTTGAAAACCTTCCTTATTTGAACACCTCCCTTATTTGAACACCTCCCTTATTTGAACACCTCCCTTATTTGAACACCTCTCGATACGAGCACTTTTTGGTCCCAAATTTGCTATCTCCCATTATCATACAGTAGTCTATAAGAAAACCTTGAAATGTGAACATCTTCAAATCTGAATGCTTAGAGTTGGAATTGGATGGGTTTTACCGTATGCACTTGTTAATTTTACTGAAATGGACACTTATTTTGGAGAGGTGTCTCATGTCCACTTGGTAACCTAGAAATGGTGTGTCTATTAAAAAGCATTGAGAATTTTAACAGAGGGGGAGTATAAGGGGTCTCTCTGATCCTTCACTAAAATAATTCTTGAAAAAAACATTGATGACAAGGCTGATTCTTTCGAGCAAGCTTTTTTTGAATCGGATGCACAGATATGTTTCAAGAGAGTATCGTTTTTCTGTTTTGCTCCTACTGTAAGTCAAAATCACGTTCCATGCCAAATGATTAAATTGACCTTTGTTGCAAAATTAGCATGCAGAAAGGATGAATTCGCTTGTTTTTGCAAATTAGGAGCATACTTGTAAAGAATTGACCTTTCATTTCCTGGAAATAAGATTAAATCCATACCTCATTTGTAAAATTAGGCTTTCAATTACCTTGAACAAGTGCAATAATTGTCTAATTTAGTGCTTTAGTAGTAATTCCAGTTAATGAAACAGTTGTCCCTTTTGGCCTTGTTGACTGTTAGCGTTTCAAATGATGATTCTTACTTAAAGCCCATTCTAAAGACAGAGTCCAATAGAATGGTTGATAGAAGAGTACCTTAGAATAGGAGTATATAAGAATGTTACATGTAAATGATAATGTTATGGACACAAATGCAAGGTGTGATTCATATTTAAGAATGAAATGATGCAGAAACGATTATTGCTTGTTTTTGCATGCAAAATGAGGAGCACACTTTTGACCTTTAGTTTTCTAGAAATCACATTAGGTTGAAAGATATCAAGAATATGCTTATTCCTTTATTCCCATTGTGCAATTAGAAGTAAAAGATGTTTCATTATAATATCAATAAAATATATAATTTATAAATATATGTATGATATTGTATTTTCAGGTTATAAAGATGGTGCTATAAACAACCAAAGGTATGACAATACACGCAGTAACCATGACGATGCCCGATACAATGATCCTAGTTACCATGGTAACAGACAATCCAAAGAACGAGGCTCAAAAGGCAGTCCTGTGGTCTCTCCTAGGGGGCACAGAGATAGCCCCAGGGGCCAACAACGCGATGAACAATATCATCCCAGAGGTGCTCCCAACCGGGGCCCTATGGATAGCCCAACGCGGCATGTCGATAGTCCTAGTCACCGCCGCGATAGCCCTAATCGAAATCTTGATAGCCCTAGTCGACATAGAGACAGAAATCCTGATGAGCCTCTTAGGCAGCAGTCACATAGGGATAGCCCTAGTAGGAATATAGATAGCCCTGATAGATATCGTGATAGTCCAAATAGACATCGTGATAGCCCAAATAGACATCAGGATAGCCCAAATAGACATCGGGATAGTCCAAATAGACATCGGGATAGTCCTTCCCATCATCGCGATGGGCAGACTAGACACCGTGATAGTCCAAGTAGGAACTTAGATAGCCCAAGCAGGCATAGGGATAGCCCGAGTAGTAGGCATCGGGATCGGGATAGCTCTAATCGGTATCGTGATGGGTCGGGTACTAGACATCGAGATAGTCCCAGTAGACAAGTATACAGTCCAGACAGTGAAAGGAGCATGGGAAGTAATAGACAGTACAAGGATCGTTCACGTGATCCTTCCCGGGAACGAAGCTACAACAAATCTCCATATAAGGACAGCCCTAGGGATAGGAATCAAAATGGGATTCCCCCTATCCCCACAGAAGATCCCCCCAGAAAAATGATCGCCTTGTATGATTATGACCCCCAGGAATTATCACCTAATGTTGATGCAGAGGTAAGAATTGAAATCAGTGTCTCATGACTGTGTCTTATGATTGTGTCTTATGACTGTGTCATGTTGGAGAGAGTGGAATTAGCAAGAAAAAAGGTGAACAGGCTTGAAGTCACTCAAATTGAAATTGCAAAACAGAAAATTAAACACATTATTCCTCAATGAGGAATGGTGCATACGATGCTGCCATCTTTAAATTAACCAAATATTTTTTGCATTATAACATTACATTTAACTAACAAAGATTCCAGATAGTATTGTGTAAATTCAAAATAATATATGCTATATCCACAAAGCACTAATTTTAATATTCCTAATATTTCTTTTATAATATTCAACTAACTAGCGGTGAATCCCAGATAAAATTGTGTAAATCCCAAATTAATTTGTTATTAATGTTTTCTATTTACCTCATTAGTAATCTTGAATAAATACAATGCAGTGGATCACTTCAACATACATGTTCAGTCTAAATGGAATAAGGGCTCGATTCTGGCATTAAGCTATATGCTTATACATGTATATATTAACATGTATCTCATTGAAGTGGTCCATTTTCCCTCAAACCTACACCCCCACCCCCAAGTTGTGATGCATGTTCTAACAGTGTGTGGTCGGGCTTCTAATATAGGTGGAGCTATCATTCAGAGCTGGCGAACACATTCTCGTTTTTGGCGAAATGGATGAAGATGGTTTCTTCATGGGTGAGATGAAAGGCCAACGTGGGCTCGTTCCATCAAACTTTCTTGAAGAACTGCCACCTAGTGAGGAAGATCTAGATGTGGGAAGTTTGTTTTCATCATCGCGATCCCGGGATAGTATGCCGATTATATCAGCACCATTGACGGAGAAATTAGAGGCCGATCCCCAGGTTAGGAATACTTCTATAACTGGTGGTGGTAACAGTGGGGATGGGCAAACAAATGACTTGTATGCATTTGACAGTAAATGTGATAGTAAAACTGTTAATAGCAAATCTAGTTCTAAGCCAAGGCATGCTAGACAATTACCTCAAAATCGTAGCAAATCTGATGTCAAATCGGGACAAAATGATTTATATTCGAACAATGCAGCTCCTAAAGATTTCTTAACGAAATCAGAACTATATAAACAGACTTATCACCCTGATCAAGTACGCCAAAGAGGCAACGGCCAATCAGATTCAAATGATTCCTACACCGAGTCACCCAAAACTAATTCTGTTATCAATGATCAAAAAGCTCAAGGTAAAAAACAAAAGTCAAATGAAGGTCTTAATCCCAAAAGCAATATCAATCAGTCTAGTTTTGACAAAGAGAGACAATCAAAAAACAGCTCAAGAAATTACGACTCGCCAAAACATTCAAACACTGAACAAAATAAGCCACTCTATGATTTGTTTGGAAACCCTATTTCTGAAACTTCTTCCAAATCTCCATCTAAAAGCAATAAATCCACCAATCAATTGCCTTATGATGAATTTGGTGATCCTGTCAAACCAATAGGAAACAAGCAAGAATTAGGTAATCCAATCAAATCAATGGGAAACAAGCAAGAATATGATCAATTTGGCAATCCAATCAAACCAATGGGAAACAAGCAAGAATATGATCAATTTGGTAATCCAATCAAACCAATGGGAAACAAGCAAGAATATGATCAATTTGGCAATCCAATCAAACCAATGGGAAACAAGCAAGAATATGATCAATTTGGTAATCCAATCAAACCAATGGGAAACAAGCAAGTATATGATCAATATGGTAATCCAATCAAACCAATGGGAAACGAGCAAGAATATGATCAATTTGGTAATCCAATCAAACCAATAGGAAACAAGCAAGAATATGATCAATATGGTAATCCTATCAAATCAATGGAAAACAAGCAAGAATATGATCAATTTGGTAATCCAATCAAACCAATGGGAAACAAGCAAGAATATGATCAATTTGGTAATCCAATAAAATCAATGGGAAACAAGCAAGAATATGATCAATTTGGTAATCCAAACAAACCAATGGGAAACAAGCAAGATTATGATCAATATGGTAATCCTATCAAACCAATGGGAAACAAGCAAGAATATGATCAATTTGGTAATCCAATAAAATCAATGGGAAACAAGCAAGAATATGATCAATTTGGTAATCCAAACAAACCAATGGGAAACAAGCAAGATTATGATCAATTTGGTAATCCAATCAAATCAGTTGTTAATCCAATCAAACCAATGGGTAACAAGCAAAAATTTGATCAGTATGGTAATCCTATCAAACCAATGGGAAACAAGCAAGAATATGATCAATTTGGTAATCCAATCAAATCAGTTGTTAATCCAATCAAACCAATGGGAAACAAGCAAGAATATGATCAATTTGGTAATCCAATCAAACCAATGGGAAACAAGCAAGAGTATGATCAATATGGTAATCCTATTAATCCAATTGATAACAAGCAAGAATATGATCAATATGGTAATCCAATCAAACCAATGGGAAACAAGCAAGAATATGATCAATATGGTAATCCTATCAAACAAATTGGAAATGAATATGATAGATACAGCAATCAAAAGACTGACCCTTCTGATAAACAATACAAACCTCAAACAAAATTGGACAAATATGGTAACCCTATCAGGGTGGATGCTCCTCCTTTGGTGAGACAATATGATGCATTTGGGAACCCTATTGCAGCACCTTCACCAAAGACTACACCTTCAGGGAGCAGATATGAACAATATACTGAGCAAGAGATCAATACTATGTCTCCAAAGACAAAAGCGAAATATGAATCTGTGAGCATGTCTCCTAAAGGAGCGAGATCAGGAAAGGGGAGAAATAAGGAGACATTTGAGGATGAGTCAACCAGTAGTGGATCACCAAAAAAGCAACCAGGCTTGACAAATGATACATTTTATTCACCAAAATCAAATCGACGCGTTTCGGATGAGCTCCATGATTCGTCGTATGATTCCCCAGGCTCAAAAACTTCCAAAGGTTTCAATTCTGAATATTCACATGACTCACCAACTTCCAAAAGAGTACGGAATAATGAGACAGATTATAATAAAGATTCCTCGTATGATTCGCCAAAGTCATATGATTCACCAAAATCATATGAATCGTATGAGTCCTCGAAATCATTTGATTCTCTCAAAGGTCGTAGATCTTTGAACCAAGAGCCAAGAGAACTGGAATATTATGATAAAAGATCTGGAAGCAAGTCACGTGATCATTCATATGATTCGTCAAGATCCAGAAATTATGATAATTTTGACTCTCAGAATCCTGATCAATGTTTTGATTCGCCAAGTCTAAGCAGAAAAATGAAAGATTCAAAATTTGATCTACAAGGGGAACCTTTATATGAACCACAACAGAGAAAATCTAGATCAAAATATGATGAAAATCAAGGTCAAGGTTCAAGGTCATCCAGTAGAGGTAGAGATCAGTATAGTGAAGAGAAGTATGATCAGGGTCAAAGGTCAAGGTCAAGAAGAAAAGGAAATGAATATGATGATGACTACAAGAGTCAAAGGTCAAAGACTAGAAACAAATTAGGTGACCCTTATAATGAGGAGGAAGTCAAAGGACAGAGGTCAAGGTCAAGTAGCAGAGGGGGAGATACATATTATGAAGAAGGGCAAGGTCATAGATCAAGGTCAAGCAGTAGAATGGGGGACCCATATGATAATGAACAGGGTCAAAGATCAAGGTCACATAGCAAAAGTGGTGACCCATATCATAATGAAGGCCAAAGGTCAAGAAATAAGGATGATCCTTATTATGATGATAGTCGAGGTCAAAGGTCAAGATCAAGCAGCAGGGGAGGGGAGTCCTATTATGATGAAGAGTCCAGGGGTCATAGGTCAAGGTCAAGACGTAAAGGAGAGGATTATTATCAAGATGACAGAGGTTATCAAGAAGGTCAAACTAGAGACCAGAGGTCAAGATCAAGGTCAAATAACCCAGATAACTATGATGATAATGGATATTCAAATGACCGAAAGGCTCATCTAAATGTTCAACCAGACATTTCTGATGATAAAGGAAATGGTAAAAAAGTTCAAATAATTAGCCCTGATGCTTCACAAAAGCACGACTCAAACCACCCTAAGTTCGCAAAAAATGATCCAGCATTGAAATCATCAAAACATGAGGCTGAAGTCATAAAGGCTGTGAGCCAAACAGTCAGTAATACAAGTACTGAAAACTATGACAAAAACATAAGTGGGATGGTGCAAGTGTATAAACCATCATTGGGAATCGATCCAAACTCAATGGCAGCAAAAACCACAGCAAAGATCCTCTCACCATTGAATAATACGGTAAATACAGTAGATCAGACCAAGAAGCCAAAAAGGCCGAGGTTGTATACAAAACTTGAGGCTGTATCTTAAGAAATCCAAAAAAGGCAGAGGTTATATACAAATATTGAAGCTGTATCTTAAGAATTCCAAAAAGGCCAAGGCTATATACAAAACTTGAGGCTGTATCTTAAGAAATCCAAAAAAGGCAGAGGTTATATACAAATATTGAAGCTGTATCTTAAGAAATCCAAAAAAGGCAGAGGTTATATACAAATATTGAAGCTGTATCTTAAGAAATCCAAAAAAGGCAGAGGTTATATACAAAACTTGAGGCTGTATCTTAAGAATTCCAAAAAGGCCAAGGCTATATACAAAACTTGAAGCTGTATCTTAAGCATTCCTTTAAGAATTCCAAAAGGCCAAGGTTATATACAAAACTTGAGGCTGTATCTTAAGAATTCTAAAAAAGGCAGAGGTTATATACAAATATTGAAGCTGTATCTTAAGAATTCCAAAAAGGCCAAGGCTATATACAAAACTTGAAGCTGTATCTTAAGCATTCCTTTAAGAATTCCAAAAGGCCAAGGTTATATACAAAACTTGAGGCTGTATCTTAAGAATTCTAAAAAAGGCAGAGGTTATATACAAATATTGAAGCTGTATCTTAAGAATTCCAAAAAGGCCAAGGCTATATACAAAACTTGAAGCTGTATATTAAGCATTCCTTTAAGAATTCCAAAAAGGCCAAGGTTATGTTTTTTAACATGTCACTTGAGAAGTCAACCCAACTCTTGGAAGAACTAATCTTCTATTTTATGTATTAATAATATTAGGGATTTTTGGCTAACCTTTGTTCGTTTGAAAGAAGTAACAAATTAAAAATACTAAGTCCCCAAATCTAAACTTTAAACCGTGAACGACATATGTACAATGTATATACACATGTAACATACCTGTACCTCTAAAACCTTTGTTTTATATTTACAGTTTATACAAGTTGAAATTGAAATGTTATTTTGAATAATCCATGTTACATTAATGAAATCAATAAATGAGCAACATTGGAAACAAAAAACAGATTTATCCCTTTTAAACAAATGTACCATTTAATACCAATTAAAAATGTTATCTATATCTTACATTAACTAAATAATTTCCCTCGTTTTAGGACACGTGACATGTATGAGTTTGAGTTTGAAATAATTTAAAAGGTATTAACTTTTTTTTAAAACTTCAACTTCTATACTTAATATGATATTTTACTTTATTAACATGCTGGCTTTATTAACATGCTGGCTTTGATGAATCCTAGCATTTCATGTTAGCAACATAGAAAAAATCTAATTCACCAATTTCTTAAAAATTCAGCAATTTTTCCTGTACAACTTACTGTATTTGTTCCTAATTTGGCGCCTGCTTAAATTTGGTAGATTTGATAATTTCAACAAATTAGACAGGCAAAGATTTTCAACAAAAATGCCAAATTGAGAACAAAAAGAGTAACAAAATACATGTAGAGCTCACTCTAGAAGTTTATATAACACTTTTCTTCAAAGTTTTTTGTTTGAAATAACATGTTTGATAACTTACACATTGGCTTATAGGTTGTAGAACCTAGATTTATACTAATTTATGAACAAGATAGAGACTTAGCAATACAATTCAAACATATAAAAGAAGTTTTAAGCATATTAATTAAAAAGTATGTAGGTCTATGCTACAATATAGATTTAAGTGATTTTTTAATGAAAATATTTTTTATGAGATTTGTCTCATCTTGAAAAAATCCAATGATAATTAACAAAAACATTTATTTATTTATTAATACATTGTATATTCATCAAAACTTATATTTCCTATGGAAAATAGCACAATTTTTACTCTCTTCTTTATAAATCATATATATAATTAAAATAAATAATTAAAATAAATAATTAAAAAACTGATCACTTTGACCTATGCAGCATTGAAATTAATAATTTTCTCAAATTAGTTTTTTAGTTTATTTCATATATTAGCTATTAGTACATGTTAATTTAACATGTTAATTTTAACATGTTCAAAATGTGAGGGGAATAATGACCAGGAATGGGGTCAAACTTGTTAACCCTTCTGGGTCCAAATATTTCCAGAAATAGGATCTAAAATTTTAACATTTTCATGACCAAGAATAGGGCAGGACCTAACCTGTTAACCCTTCTAGGTCCAAAATTATTCTCAAATCAAAATTTTCCTATCAACCTTTACATGTTTCAGAGTAAAAAAAATACATTAAACAAAATTTTTCTCATATAGCTGAAGCCCACACATTTTTCACTTATATACAGAACCAGATTTTTTCAAAAAATCCTCAGTTTACATCTAAAAGCTAAATATTTCACAAATATAAATGTAACTTAATTACAAAACAATGCACATTTAAAACGTCAAAATTCAGTTATATTAAAGACATATATTATTCATATGATTGACACAATCTGTATGCTTCAATTTTCACTATTCTTCAATTGTACAAATCAACACAGTGTAAATAGTGTAAATATATAGTGTAATTTTCAAATAGTGTACAGTCCACTAGTGTATATAGTATTTTAAGAACACAAATGTATAAAAATGTAAATGTAAATATACTAGACTTGAATAAAGAATAGGACGTGACTACTATGATGCAATAAAAATGAGTATGTTAATTGATATATTCTTACTTTTTTTATGCATGCCTTCATTTACGATTATTGGTGTGTTTTTAAACCAAATTTCTCATGCCAATTCTGGACGTTTCTATTTCTTCTTCATACATGTACTTTTAAAAGTATAAAATAAAAGTTTTAATTTCTCATGCCAGTTTTGGAAGTTTCTCTTTCTTCTTCATACTTTTAAAAATATAAAATAAAAGTGAAAACATTTTTTTTTTAGTTTCTCATGCCAGTTTTGGAAGTTTCTAATTCTTCCTACTTTTAAAGATATAAAATAAAAGTAAAAATATTTTTTTGATTTCTCATGCCAGTTTTGGAAGTTTTTATTTCTTCATACTTTTAAAAATATAAATATAATCAAGAGTATTACACTTTTCATCAAAGCACACATAAGCAGTAAATCCTGAATCACAATATTATCATTATTCATATAGGTATTAATATCTTTGAGCAGGATTTACAAAATATTTAGTATTGTCAGTATTGCATACATCGCCTAGGAAACCTAGACAAAACAATCTCCGACAACAATGGAGAATCAGTGTGTCAAATTGAAACATTTCTTGGAGTTGTAGACTAGACTGTTAAAGGGCAAAGAATGGACCCAGATCCAAACTTTAATTTACATCTACAAGCAAAAAGTAAATTTTGAATATTGAAAAATCCTAATATCTTCAATCGGCAAGAAAAGACCTCGAAAGGTTTTGATTTGCTTAGTAGATTACATACTGCTGTACAGACATTTACTTTCAAAGGACCTTGCCTTGTCGACTTTTTAAAAAGATCTCTTTCATTAGGAACGAGTGTGTTATAATAATTTCAATGTATGATTCCTCCCATGGATTAACATGTGCATTTTTAAAGGATGAATGTCTTCAGAAAAAGCCACGCTCGCAAGAGTTGTCTAATGGACACTCATCCTTTAAGAATCCTACATGTTATTGTATATCTGTTACCATAGATTATCCATAGGCATGAGCCACATAAGGTAAAGTACAGTCGAACTGTCTTACCAAAATTTTCAGATGTTTTTAAACGAAAACTGTAGAAATGAGCTCCAAGGTACCTCATTTAGCCTGAATTTTCCTCACTTACTTTTTTTTCCCTCGCCCAATTCTAGATCTTGGCTCACCCTTGTTATCATTTATTAATAGTGGGATCAGTTAGGACAATAAAACCCTAGAATTGCACTTGCTATATATAAAGCACAATTTTTTGACAGAAGTATCATTGATACATATATATTTGATATCTAACGAAGTGGTATTGAAAAGTGGCCCCAGTTGATAATAGCAGCCCTCAAAGATTTTGCACATTTACATTGAGCCCCATGTTAATTTATCAATCTTCTAAAGACAACCTGCAGAACAGTTCTAATGTAATAAAGCCCATATTCCCAGTATGTTACAATTATATGATTATCTTCAAAATGAGAAGGGTTAAAATTTTTCTTTTGCCTAGTTCAAAAGATATTGCCGTTTGAATTTTGGAAAATCTCCATTGGCTGCCATTATAAACTACTATAAATATGGCTTTACTAAAGTGTCAATTTCTCAAAAAGTTTACTATGGAATTTTCTAATATTGCAGATTTCTATAGGTGATACATTGAATTTAAAAAAATCAAACAGACACATTTCTAAAAATTTCTTATTTTTGAAATACTTAGCTGTTAAGTTGCGCATGAAACTATTGAAAACCTGTATTGAGCCCCATGTTAATTTATCAATCTTCAAAAGACCCCCTGCAGAACAGTTCTAGAGTAATAAAGCCCATATTCCTAGTATGCTACAATTATATGATTATCTTCAAAATAAGAAGAGTTAATTTTTTCTTTTGCCTCGTTCAAAAAATATTGCCATTTGAATTTTAGAAAATCCCCATTGGCTGCCATTATAAACCGCTATCAATATGGCTTTACTAAAGTGTCCTTTTCTCAAAAAGTCAACTATGGAATTTTCTAATATTGCAGATTTCTATGGTAAATATATTGAATTAAGCGATAACTTACTGAAATACTGGGAAAATGTTTTAGGCTTATGCCATTATAGCACTAATAGCCGTAAGACCTCTGCTAGAGAGAGAATTTCCAATATGGCCGTTCAATTGAAAATGTCTGCTATTTTCCGCTATATTTATTTTTTTTATAACCTGACTTCAATTTATTTCGCCTATGGATTTCTTTGAAAGAGTTCATTCCATAAATAAATAAAATTATAAGATGCAAGATTTTTGCTATTTGTAATGAAATAATCATTGTACATGTTGACAGGGAGTTATTTTGTCTTTTGAAACAATTAAGTATGAATAAAACAACATTAAGTTTACAAACTTGAAAGACATCAATATATCTATTTTACTTGAAAGGGGATGGTGTGGGCGTAAATTTCTGATATTAAGTCTTAAACATTGTATCGTATATTTATTTTCAAAATATGTGATTTAAATCATTTTCTGAGCATTTACGATGTGATGATAACATGAGTTTAGTTATCAGGGACTAATCAAGACTTATTACATTTTAGTAATTCATTGAATTAAAAAATGTATGTAATCTTGAAGAACACGTAAAGCAAAGACCGCAAAAAGTTGAAAGAAACAGGATTTACACTTTTATCAAAAGCATATTTATAGCGGTTTATGATGACAGCCAATAGAAAATTTTCAAAATTCAAACACCAATATCTTTGGAACTAGACAAGGAAAAATGTTTTGACCCTTCTTATATTAAAGATAATCATGCTATTGTAACACAATAGCAATATGGGGTTTATTATTCTAGAACTGTTCTGAAGGGGGTCTTTTGAAGATTGATTAAAATTATTTATTATAAAATGTTTTCTATGGTTTTGTGTGCAACTTAACCGCTAAATATTTCAAAAGTAAACAGTTTTTAGAATTGTTTCTGTTTGATTTTTTTTAAATTCAGTATATTAACAATGCAAATCTGCAATATTGGAAAATTTCATAGTAAACTTTTTGAGAAATTGACACTTTAGTAAAGCCATATTTATAGTGGTTTAAAATGGCAGCCAATGGAGATTTTCCAAAATTCAAACGTCAATATCTTTGGAACTAGCCAAAAAGAAAAAATTTAATCCTTCTTATTTTGAAGACAATTATGTTATTGTAACATACTAGGAATATGGGCTTCATTGCTCTAGAACTGTTCTGAAGGGGGTCCTTTGAAGATCGCTAAATTAACATTGGGCTCAATTAGTTTTTTTTATAGTTTCGTGTGCAACGTAACGGCTTAATAAAGAAATTTCCAGAAATGTGCATGTTTGATTCTTTTAACTTTTAAGTCAATAAATTAACTATAGAAATCTGCAATATTATCCTTTGAATCCTTTGAGAAAATGACATTTTAGTAAAGCCATTTTGATAATGGTATATAATGGCAGTCAATAAGAATTTTCCAAAATTCAAAAGCCGATATCTTTGGAAACTAGGCAAAAGTAAAAATGTAACCCTTCTTGTTTTGGAAATAATCATGTTATTGTAATAAACCAGCAATATGGGTTTTATTACTCTAGAACTGCTCTGCAGCCGGTCATTTGAAGATTGATAAATTAACATGGGGCTCAATATAGGTTAAATATTTCAAAAATTAGAATTTTTTAGAAATGTGTCTATTTGATTTGTTTAAATTCCATACATTAACAATATAAATCTGCAGTATTAGAAAATTCCATAGTGGACTTTTTGAGAAAAGGACACTTTAGTAAAGCCATGTTGATAGTGGTTTATAATGGCAGCCAATGGAGATTTTCCAAAATTCAAATGTCAATATCTTTGGAACTAGCGAAAAGAAAAAAATTAACCCCTCTTGTTTTGAAGATAATCATGTTATTGTAACATACTAGGAATATGAGCTTTATTGCTCTAGAACTGTTCTGCAGGGGGTCCTTTGAAGATCGCTAAATTAACATTGGGCTCAATATAGTTTTTTTGTAGTTTCGTGTGCAACTTAACAGCTTAATATTTCGAAATTAAGAAATTTTTAGAAATGTGTCTGTTTGATTTTTTCTAAGTCAATATATTAACTATAGAAATCTGCAATATCAGAAAATTCCATAGTAAACTTTTTGAGAAAAGGACATTTTATTAAAGCCATATTGATAGCGGTTTATAATGGCAGCCAATGGAGATTTTCCAAAATTCAAACGTCAATATCTTTGGAACTAGCGAAAAGAAAAAATTTAACCCCTCTTGTTTTGAAGATAATCATGTTATTGTAACATACTAGGAATATGGGCTTTATTGCTCTAGAACTGTTCTGCAGGGGGTCCTTTGAAGATCGCTAAATTAACATTGGGCTCAATATAGTTTTTTTGTAGTTTTGTGTGCAACTTAACAGTTTAATATTTCGAAATTAAGAAATTTTTAGAAATGTGTCTGTTTGATTTTTTTTAAATCAATATATTAACTATAGAAATCTGCAATATCAGAAAATTCCATAGTAAACTTTTTGGGAAAATGACATTTTATTAAAGCCATATTGATAGTGGTTTATAATGGCAGTCAATGGGAATTTTCCAAAATCCAAAGGCCAATATCTTTGGAACTAGGTAAAAGAAAAAATTTAACCCTTCTTATTTTGAAGATAATTATATAATTGTAACATACTGGGAATATGGGCTTTATTACTCTAGAACTGTTCTGCAGGGGGTCTTTAGAAGATTGATAAATTAACATGGGGCTCAATGTAAAAATGCAAAATTTTCAAGGGCTGCTATTATTAAATGGGGGCACTTTTCATCACCACTTCGTTAGATATCAAAACTATATGTATTAAGGATACTTTGGTCAAAAAATGGTGCTTTATATATAGCAAGTGCAATTGAACAGCTAACTGGCCCCACTATAATGGCCCTGTCATAAACCAACGTTAAGATGAAAATCCTCCTCATGAAAGGGATCTTTTAAGAGTATTTCCACACATAGGAGGACTTCTATAAAATAATGTTGGATCTGTGTTTAACAAGATGCATGTTTTGAGTGACATCACAATATTCGAGTGACATCACAATGTTTAAGTGACATCACAATATTTGACATCTGATTTCCTGTCATTCATTGCTTCCTTGGGATAATATGCCCAAATATGGACACATTGCCCATATTTGGTCAAGGTATGTGTAAATTTTCAATGTGCATGTGGACAATAAAAAATCCTCTTCCTTGAAGCCTTTCCTTGACTTAAGTTGCAACGTGTTTTGTAGTAGAATTAAATTTAGTTTTTCTTTTTGAATTAATTTCCACGCACTCACAATTAATTATATTTTACCACTTCTTGCAAAGTCTGACTCAACATATTTAATAAGTTATGTTCATCTTAGTTGTTGTTTCACTAACATTTTATTACTTGAAATTATCCATAGAATTATGATTATGCAAATTTAGGACATAATTATGCTAATTATTACATAATTATGCTAATTAGAACATGATTATTATAGTTGTTGTATTTTAATTGATCAACCAAATGACTCAACTGGTAATCCTTAAAAGTGGCACTTTGTCAGGCTCAATCATAAAAAAAGACATATATTTTGAAGGAGTCGTAAATACCTACACTGTGTGTTCCAAATAGCACCTTTTTCAAATTATGTGGCTTGAACGTCAAATTAAATGCTTTTAAATTATCACATTTATGGGCTTTATGTATCATCAAATTATCTTATGAAACTAATCTAACCTAAGCTTTGTAAATCATCACATTTTAGGCTTGTGAATCATCAAATATATTACAATGTACTTTGAAAAGCATTACATTTTTTGTATTATTGAATCATCAAATGTTCAGACTTATCATTTGTCATCAAGATCAGAATGCTAGACTTATAAATAAAAAAATACCAAGCTTATAATCATCATACATCTAAGCTTTTCAATCATCTTCAATTCTTTTAATTCATCAAAAATGCAAAGCTTACAAATCATCAAAAATGTTAACTTACAAATCTTCAAAAATGCTAAGCTTACAAATCATCAAAATGCTAAGCTTACAAATCGTCAAAATGCTAAGCTTACAAATCATCAAAATGCTAAACTTACAAATCATCAAAATGCTAAGCTTACAAATCATCAAAATGCTAAGCTTACAAATCATCAAAAATGCTAAGCTTACAAATCATCAAAAATGCTAAACTTACAAATCATCAAAATGCTAAGCTTACAAATCATCAAAAATGCTCAGCTCACAAATCATCAGAAATGCTAAGCTTACAAATCATTAAAATGCTAAGCTTACAAATCATCAAAAATGCTAAGATTACAAATCATCAAAAATGCTCAGCTTACAAATCATCAAAAATGCTCAGCTTACAAATCATCAAAAATGCTAAGATTACGAATCATCAAAAATGCTAAGCTTACAAATCATCAAAAATGCTAAGCTTACAAATCATCAAAAATGCTGCTGCTAATTCTGCTTTGTGTTGAATATCTCAATGTTTAGGAAGTAAATGAACACTTGCTAATTAGATTGTTATAGTGTGTGTAGTCTGATCTAAAGGAGTTCCATGCTGAACCAAGATTGATTAATTCGGGGGCGGTGGTATTCAGATGTCCTTTAAATCCAGATTGCTGAAGCTGATATATCCCCCCCCCCTATATACTGATACTTGCTGAACCAACAGTAACTAATTGGAGGGGGATTCTTCAGATGTCCTTCAAATCCAGACTGGTGACACTGATATACCCCCCCCCCCATCACTACCATACAGGGTGACCCAAAAAAGCAGAAATCTAACCTTTGATTCAAAGATTTGTGGGGTTTTATTTTTGGATCACCTTGTACTGTTGGTTTCTTGCTTGGAACTCCTTTGATTTTGATTACATGTGATGTGCTGTGATTAAAATACGATAAATGGTCATGTTTTTACAAATATAAGACAAATTAAGGTTGGCCTTGGATATACAAAGAATAAGCTTGCGGCCATATCTTGGAAATATTGTCAATTATGATTCTTTATTTCAAAATTTTCTTTAAGATTCACTCATGTTGCTGTGAAATGACAATTCAATTCAAAGGACAATTGACAATTGAATTTCACTATTTGTAATTCGTGATATTTTTAAGAACAATGGCTACGGTTTTTGAAAATAGAGCTTTTTGTTGTCGTGGACATATTGACAACCTTCCTACCTTAATGAAAAATCTGGCACTTTTATCAAAACGAGGAACTTATTCTGTAAAAAAACATTTTGGTATGAAATTTTTGTCGGTAAATTATTTTTTCCAAATGAGATTGGCCTAAATTGATATTTTCCAAAAATAAGAAGCACTGAAAATAGAATTTTTGCGCAAATAAAATACCTTAAAAATTAGGAAAAATGTGAAATTTAATCACATATAAATTCTTGGTTTACTGTAGTTTGAGACATTTGTTAGACACATGACCTGAAAGTATTTAAATCATCGATTGTGAACTCAAACATGCATCAATGTATAGGCTAGTTGTTTGTTTAGGTGCCAAACAACCCCTTAACAAACAAGTCATATTGATTGGCTTGTGTGAAAAATTGATCATTGCATCAATATCTGATGAACATTGTACAATCAATTTTCAGACAAAGAGGTTTTGTCTAAAACAGTCTGTTTGGAACAAAAATGTTCAGGGAATATTTTAAGAAAAATCCTGTTGTTATAGTAACCTACAATATTTATTTCTTATCACTATTAATGTTAATATATACATCCGTATTTCCAAAAGAAAAAAAATACAACTGTACTGTCTTTTAGGTCAGAATTAACCCACAGAGCTAGGTAAAAAGCTACAATACAGGGTAGGCAAAAAATATTGGAACTTATTTTACATTTCTTAAAATTATTACTATATTAGCTCCAAATTTATGTAAAAAAAACTCCAATTTAAAGATTTTATCAAATTTGAATATTCCAATATTTTTGGCCCACCCTGTTTTAAGTATCAAGTGGGAAAATTCTGCTCCTGCGTTTTAACTGTTCACATTATTTACAACTGTCCAATTTAAACATTTTTGGCCCACCCTGTTTTAAGTAACAAGTGGGGAGATTCTGCACCTGTGTTGAAAGACTGTTCACATTATTTACTGGGCAACTATTGCTAGAAAAGAGGTCTTTATCCCCATTTGTAATGAGGGGTCCATTTTCAGAATTGTAGCCTACCAAAAATTGAATGAAAGAGAAGTATTCATCCAAATAGTGAAAATAAATAGCTCGATGTTTTCATAGCACATTGCCAAAAATGTGAATGCTACGATATATTCTAGCAATAGGTGGCACCAGAAATGCTTTTTGAACAAATGATATTTTAACCCCTTCACTTGAGCGAATCTTATATAGGACTTTATAAGTTCTCATGGATTTATTATATTTATATATTATAACAATTCTTATCGGAGTTTGATTTACAAATCCAACTTACAATACAATAGTATGTAAGTTAAATTTTTATCTTTGAGTATTGTTCTCACCTCTTTCATGTACATGTATTTTGTATTACCAGCGCGTAACCCGAATTTTCTTCATAATTAGACTTTATCATTCAAACTTAGATCTACCACATTCATATGTAGAATTTTTCCTTTAATTAATTACAATATGTAGCTATAAAACACACCTTTTAAGACTGTTGTAGCTTTACTTTTATAGATATGTGTATTTTATCTTTTTAGATCACTTTTACATACACGGCACAATTTAAATGTATTAGAATATTCATTAGATGTGTTACATTATGAGTAAAAATAATTATTATTGATTTAAATGACGATAATTAGAATTAAAACACAGTTTGAATATAAAATACATTAAGATCTTGATTTTTAATTTCTGATTCTGTAGCTGTTCACTGAATGTTTGTCGTAAAAATTTATCCCAAAATTTAATGTTCCATTTTATCTTTCAGAGAATCATCGAGCCAATGATGCCGATGGATTTGACTCCGGCTCCTTCTCCGAAAAAATCCAAGAAATCTACGAAAAAAGATAAAACATCAACAAGTCCAGCACATTCTATTAATGCCGATTCAAATGACAAAAAGGACAAGAAAAAAGGATTCTTTTCAATGAAAGGGAAGAGTTTCTTCAAGAAGCTGAAAAAATAAAAATAAATTGTTGCCTTTTATGATGTAACTGAAAATGTAGTGATGTCCGTATTGTAGCAAAAAATGATATTTGAGCAGAATCATGCAATCAGAAGTGAATTTCTGATTCGTTTATGCCTCAGTCTCTTTATTCGTAATTTTGTCGATTATTAAAAGTTTGTAAAATGCAATGTACAGTACATTCCAATGATCGTAAACTTTTCTGTTACACTACATTTTGATCCATGGAGGAATTTCTGGACTAAAATATACACTGGTTGAACAGTATGATTCCATGGTGAAGTAGATGAAGTCTGAATATGGTGCTACTTATTTAACTTGGCTTCTTTACCAGTTTACACCAAATCTTAATGTTTACAAAATGTATATATCGCATATTGACATGTAGTCAGGTTAAGTAACACCAAGGCCTAGAAATTAGATATAAAATGTTGACAATGGTGCATGATATACTGAATCATTTCAGGCCTGTTGCCAGCTTTTGCCGAGTAGGGGAGTTCACTTTTCAAAAATTCTAGGAGGGACTTTCACATTTGATATCACTGCTCAGAACTTTGAAAATGTGGGTTGCATATTTTGTGTTTGACCTTTAGTACTAATTTCTATATTATTATTCTGCTTATTTGAACAAGAATTGACAAATAATCCATTTTGAAGTTCTTGTCCTTTCCCTTATTTTGCCCAAGAAGATTTGTCTGTGTCATCACAACATCATCAATACTGAAGTGTTTACCAGTTTACCAATGAACAGTCAATATAGGGTTCATGAGACGATTGATTACCCAAATTGTTTTCTTCAAGATTAATGCCTCAGTCCGTTTGATCTATGACAACTGTACTGTGGCAATAGCTTCCCAAAATCAATCGACCACCAATAGTAAAAGCATTTATCAACCTTGTTGTGTGGGTTGCGGGCTTAAAGGTGCAACAATTAGTGCAGGGGGCCATTCAAAGATCATCGACCAGTGTCAGAATATATTTAAGTTTGGATATTTCATCAAGACTATCATATATTTTTCTTATCTACAAAGAAACCCCCTGGATGAACATTATTTCGTTTGATTTTCCTTTTGAAACGTGATGGATGTTAAAAATCTATATGTGGGACTCCCTTTATAAAAGATTTGAACTGAATTTACACTTCTTAATGCAGAAATTGATAGTTTATCCATGCATTTTAAGAAAATAGGTACGTCAAAGAAGACGAATTTTCTCTCTACAGTCCTTGTTGCCCCTTTAATGCAAGACTTTAGATGTCTGAGCAAATAAAAACAGGACATGTACATGTACTTTGGTTTTAAATAAGTGCTGGAACACATGGATTTGATGCTAGGTTAAAATATTATGAATTAAGGGAACATGAAAAGTATAGCAATCAACTTGATTTATTTTAATTTTCCAATATTTTGCAAGCACTTAAATTCTTGTTAATTTTATATTTGATTATAGGCCTGTTAAATCTGCATGAATTTGGAGATAATAAAAGTACTTTTCATCCTCCAATCTCAGAGCTTAGTCCTAATTTCCCATATGAAATAAGGAGAAATGACCCATGTTGCCTGTATTTGGAGAATGATTGACTCTCCAGATTGTACAGTTGTCATTGGGGTGGACCATTAAACCTTGATGGGACCTTACCCTCAAACCATACCTTATATATTTCCCTTAATAACCAAATTCAAAATATTCTTCATCAATTTAAATATAAGTTAGTTTCTAACCAACATTAACATATTAAAGCTACAGCTGGAATTCTAAGATATCAAAATTCACATTTTAATCATCCACACCAGGATATAGTCCCTTCACGTCACAATTCCCACACAACACCTAATATTTTTTCTTATTGATTTATAAGTCACTACCAGAAGAGGGGACATATTGTTATAGTCTCCAACTTTTTTGTGAATGCATTCGGCATCTGTAATACGGCATCTAACAAATGATGGTATTTGTAACAAATGACAGGTGGTGACATTTTGCATGCCTTATTCCCTTTACCTCCCCCATCAGGGTTTATTGATCAGCCTCTTCAGTGTAAAATAATGTATTTATATAAATATAATGTAGCATTTCTATGAATTTATATACATAGATACTTGTACATGTATTTAGATGCTATCCCAGGTGGAAAGTGTCACACAAATCATGCTTTAAAACTTAAAATAGAGAAAAAGAGTTGAATCAGCATGGAATTCTTAAAATAAACATGTACCGGGTGACCCCGTCCTCTGGACACAGAGATCCAGACATTATCCACATCTCAGCCTGTTCGAATTTCTTCATTTTTGTGTTTGGAGGATTATGTGACCCAAAAAACGAAAGATGCCAAAATTTGGGACGATTCTGGTTTCTGGGTCACCCTGTAGTCTGCAATATATTGTATAGAAATGTCAAAAAAATACATTTCTTGTTTATTTGAGAGAGAAATGGCTGAAATTAAGCATGATGGGGTTGACACTTTAAACTCAGAGAATATTAGAGAGATGTAGATGAAGATACAGTATAAGTAATGTAAGCATTCCTAGCATCAAAAATCATTATACAGTAAAGCCTGTGACATGGAATACCCTCTGTACTAGCAAAAATTGTTATTTGTATACAGTTTTTTCTTACAGAGGGGGTTTACCTGTAAGTCAATAGAGCATGTGTTTTTGCAGAAAGGAGTTCCATTTGACAGGTACTACTGTATGTATATTAGGCTGTTATATAGTTAATGCAAAAATGCTGTCATATTGCCCCATTTAAGACATGAGTTACCATAGCAACAATAACTTTTGACCAATCATATTACAGTAGCTCATCTTTCGCTGTTCCAATGCACATTCTGTAATAGATTTCACTAAAAATGTTTTTAAAAAATTGGGAACATTTTTGCATGAAGTTTTAACAGTCTGATATATGCATGGTTAATAAATATAAATAAATAGCTAATTAGTTAAAAATGAAATCTAGTCAGTATGAAATTTATAATTTGATTAAATATTGATTATTAATAAAATTAAGGATGTTAGACATGTAGGATTGAAAAGTTTATAAGTTATGCTAAACTACATGGGCACTGATTCGGCACTGTCAGCAATGATAGAATTAGTGCTATCTGGTGCCGAATTGGTACCATTTTGTACGAATTTGTACCAATGAATTGATACAGGTGGCAAACGTGTATATTTAATTAGTCTTGTTTTAGTAATTGTCAAATATGACTGTACTGTATAAATAAATATGTGCCTTGTCAATGAAATGAATTGTGGCACTTCTGAAAGAAGATTAGAATTATGTAAATGAAATAATAAAACATTTGACTGTATTTATTTATTATTATTGTAAAGTGAAACCTTCAAATGTGAGCATAGCATCATAATGTCTATAAAAAGATGGCAATACAATCAAAATAATAACATATCTTCTTTAGAGATATAAATAGAACATGAATAATGAACAACATGCACATCACTGTCATCTTTATATTGGCCTAGAGGCGCTCAGAGGCGTAGGCAGTTTTCAGTGAGGGGGTGTGATCGCCAAAAAATTTCGATTATCAGTCAGGGGGGTGCAATCGTGGCAAGTGAGCCAAAGCAATGTTAGTTTTGAATTTTACAAAAAAAGATGCATCTTTCTTCAAAATTGAGCTAGCATTTTAAAGTTCCTTTCTTCTTCTATCTAATGGTTGTGGGGGGCTGCCCAACCCCCTCCCCCTGGCTACGCCTTTGACACTGTACGTTGGTTTCACTGTACAATAGTATATAAATGATAATATGTGTAGCATATGACAGTCTGGACAATAAATAAATGAGTAGTCAATTTTCTGTCACCATTGCCAAACCATGGTAGTCAATTTTCTGTCACCATTGCCAAACCATGGTAGTTTAAAAACCCATAGGCCTACATTGTAGTTTTCAATATGTTCTAGATACATATCCCCTAAAATTTTTACATTTCGTATTTTCTCATCCACTGATGTATGGCCTTTTGAAAATTCTCTTATTTTTAACATGGGACATCCTCATTTCAGCAAATCCATTTATTCAGTGTCCAAATTGTAGTGTTACATTACTGTTATATCCTTAAAGTACACGTAGAATACAGAAATAGTATAGCAAAGAATGAAATATAACAGTGTATAGTATGACAGTGATATAAGAAGTAAAAATTGTTTTACAAACCTAGTTTACGACATCGCCAACTTTTATCAGGTTTGAATTTGAGCTAGTTATGGTGGTGTTATTATTTTCAATATTTCATTTTTACATTTAGAGTGTACATGCCCTCCCAGAATTTTTCTATCAGCCAGATTTTGACCCTGGAGATTCAGCCCTGAATTCCACAACTTTCAGCCCTGAATTCTTCAACTTTCAGCCCTGAATTCCACAACTTTCAGCCCTGAATTCCACAACTTTTGGCCCTGAATTCAATAAAATCCTCTCTTTGATTGCCAACATTTAGGTCTAAAAATTTAAATCTGAGAAAAGTTAATAGTGTTGTAATGATTTAGCGTTTCAGTATAATTTATTAGACTGATTTTGTATTAAATGCAATGGATACATCAAGTCACCATTGCTAATATGCATGGCATATATGATGTTTTGTCATCCCATATATCAGGATATAAACAATACAATAGTACATACTATATCTGCTTAACTCAATATTTATATTTGCGTGTTAAAGTACCAACTAAAAAACAAAAGAGACCTCTGTCTTTCATATTGAAGAATTTTCATTTAAAAAAATTATTAAAATTAAGAGATATCAACTGAAAATGAATGGCATCTTATGCCTCCATAAATGATATCCATTCTTTCATGTACGATCACTTCAGGGAACAAGACAAAATATAAGAATTATTCCATGAATATCAGCCATGGTGTATAATAAATGAATCACTTTATTTACTATATATTATTTAATATATGTAGCTTAGGCAGGTATTATTTGTATTATAGTCTAGTAAACAATAAATTATTGAACATATTATATATTTTCAAACCTATTTTCATGTTTACTTAGTGGACACATTTTCTTGAAAATTCTGTTCAGCAATGTATTTTCTTACAGTGTAATTACATGTATGAAAAGGGGAAGTGCCGTCTATATAAATCCCTAGATTCAAGTCGTGGAAACATCCCCATATTTGCAACAAAAAACAATGATAAACCAAAGTCAGTAAGTAGTAGTTGTACCATATGCATGAATTGTAGCTTTTGGGAAAGATGATAAAACGCATATCCCTTCAGAATGATGAAAAACTGCATGATTTTGAAAGAGTTTTTGGCCAGGGGGGGGGGGGTTGCCCATATCATTTCAAGTATTTCAAGAATAACAACAATGAAAATGTAACTTTCTTTAGATAATATTATCTGCCAAGTGCTGGGCATTTGCTTCACACCGGGAAGGCTAGTTTAAATTTTGAATTATTAAGATCAAAATGGTAGGTCCTATTGACGACTTTTGAACGAACTACTGCAATCGGCCGGGCGCCGGCCGGTGAATCAGAGCAAATGTGACCTAGACTTTAATTATCCCAACGAACGAAGTTCGGTAGGGATATAGTGAAGCCCTCCGTCCGTCAGTCAGTCCGTCCGTCCGGAAGATAACTCAATTATTAGTTGACGGATTTTCTTCATATTTGCTGGAAAGATGTATATTGATGAATAGTTTTACGCAAAATGTTTTCAAGATGGCCGCCGCTTTAAAGGGTGACGCATATCGTTTAGCAAATCGAACGCTCGTTTCTGGTGTTGCTCACCGTTTAGTATAAAAGGCCCGATCCCGGAATAATACTCAAGGGTTCACAGGTTCGAGGTCGTTGTGTCAACACCTCTAACTGTTATATAGCATAAGTATATTATAGATCGTCACACATTTATAAAAGGGTGGTTTTTATTTTGACAAATCAATTCCACATTTATTGGTGAAGATTTAGGATCTTCTATTTGTGTATAATAAGGAAAAATTGGCATCTAAATTTCCCCATAACGTAATAGCACACAGCTTGGCATATGAAATATCCTACAAATGAAACAAAGCAAGACAAACCGGTTTCTAATACAAGAATTTATGTTGGCTGTTGTACATGTATTATTTGAACGCAATCACTCTTTGGATAACGTTTTCAAAATCATTATAAACGGATTACTTTATCCAAGACAATTTCAATAAACTGGATTTTACAGAACTCCCCTTATTTCTTAAAAATGGACTGATCCCGTTGATTCGCCTGGAGCCGCCATATTGTTTTTATATTTATACGGGATGCTAATCGGAACCCTTTAAAAATGACGGGAATTTTCGCAAAAATCATAAATTTTCATTCTAAACCAAAGTAATTAGTATTATTGTTTGAAATTTTGGTAGTATATTCGCAACATCTATCTTTTTCACATATATTCTGTGGTTTTCATCCTGACCCCCAGGGGCCGTGTATGGGGGGTCAGGAAAACAGAAATTTTCGCTAATTTTTAGATCTTTCTGAAGAATAGCTTTATTATACTCAAATGAAAGGCAATTAAGAGTACATTGCAAATATTATATCTTTTTTCTGATTCGAGCCTCGTAAAATTCAAAATGGCCGTCTAATGTACGATTTCGCAATAATTTTTCGATCCCTTCAAAGTATGGCTATATAATACTCAAATTGAAGGGATTTTGAAGTAGATCACAATTATGGTATTATTTTTCAGATTTGTACCTCAGTAAATTCAAAATGGCTGCTTTGCAGGAATTCGCAATTCTAAAATCTAAATTTTTCAATTTTAACCAAAGTAATGAGTATAATTGATTGGAATTCGGTAATTGATATTTTGTTCGTTGGGATTTGCTACTCCGCGGAGTTGCCGTTATCTAGTTGGAATATCTTTTCCACTGATGTACACACATATCTGGGCTAATATCGTACTTAAATATTTTTGTTTTATGGAATAAAAACAAGATCTTTAATGTAAACATCCGCACTTCTTCAAACCAATTTTAATATATCCTGAGACTCATAGAGTACTGTAAATCCAAACACAACCAATTAAAAAGGTCTATCGGTCAATCGGTATATTAACAAATGAATACGAATTCTGAAAAACATTTCAAATATATTTGGCTTCGACTTCTTTGTTTGAGTAACACGAAATGTTGGAATAAAAATCACGGTCGGTCCAACTTCAATGTACAATCTACAGATCGACGTAGGTCTATAGCTTACGAAATGACTATTTGTCCTCATTGCGATTCGACCTTCTGGAAGATCATATTTTGTTATATTATTCAATGCTTTATTGTACTAAAAATCCCTTTCGGGTAAGTGTACAGCAAATAAACATGATAAAATAAAACTAAAACTATACATACAATTACAATAACATACAATGCATATAATGATAATATAATGCGATTGACTGATAATTAGATATATACCAACCACTACTAGTAGCCTACATGTATATATTTATATTGTTAATATATCACCCTTGGTATACGCAGCTAACGAAAATTGACCGGTACGGGTCAAAAGCTGGACCGGTACGGGTTAACGGTTTTATTTGAATTTAAAACAGCCATAACTTGCTCAATATTGACTTCCTCGTGTCTAATTTGAAATATATGATGCCTCCCGATGCTTTTAAGTACCCCAATTTTTTACAGATTTTTAAACGGACCAAAACTCTCTAAATGCGCATTTATGCTCTTTTCTCTCGAGAACGACTGTCTCATTTTCACGATATCTTTTATTTAGTACTTCTAACATATAAGATCTATTTTTCCCCATCGAGGTATGATGTAAATGACATGCTATTTACATCTTGTGAGTTTCAATGACGCGTGTTTGATTTTATAAAAAATGCCAAACTTTGTGACAAAGAATTTCATCCTGCTTGCAGCGAGAAGACGGACCGGTTCGGGGCAATAGCATGAATATAATTTAGGAATCTTTATACATGTGTGTTACATCTGGCATTTTTATAAAATCAAACGCGCGTCATTGAAACTCACAAGATGTAAATAGCATGTCATTTACATCATACCTTGATGGGGAAAAATAGATCTTATATGTTAGAAGTACTAAATAAAAGTTATCGTGAAAATGAGACAGAGAAAAGAGCATAAATTCGCATTTAGAGAGTTTTGGTCCGTTTAAAAATCTGTAAAAAATTGGGGTACTTAAAAGCATCGGGAGGCATCATGTATTTCAAATTAGACACGAGGAAGTCAATATTGAGCAAGTTATGGCTGTTTTAAATTCAAATAAAACCGTTAACCCGTACCGGTCCAGCTTTTGACCCGTACCGGTCAATTTTCGTTAGCTGCGTATACCAAGGGTGATATATAGTTGATCTCTTTTCAATATTCATAAAGGTATTTTGCAAAGGTGATACACATGTTACCCTCAGCATTAAACATATAATAAGCCTTTTCTTTGGGAGTCAATACAGTTAGATTTGGGCAAATTCAGTTGAGCGTATCAAAGTATTCATATCTCATTTTTCCAATTTTTGGCATTCAAAAATAAAATGAGTTTCCGTACCAGTGTTGATTTTACATAATTTGCATTTTCTTTGATCTCTCGGAATTATTGGTCTTGTATATCTTCCTCGCTCTATTTCTAAATGGTGCGCACTTATTCTTAATCGCTTAATAGATTTCCTATGTTCAGCGTTTTTTATTAAATTCAAATTTCCCTTTATTATCATTGACAGTTTTCTCCCAATATTTTATATATCTCTTTTCAAGGATTTTCTTAATATCAAGCGGTTTGCTATTCATGGAAATTTTATCTTGTGGTTGAACATATGCCATTATTCTATCAATGTCATAGTACCATGATGGTTGATTATGAACTTTTGATAGTTCAATACTATCTGCATATGCATTAATTAGTAATGAACTCGTTCCTTCATTTTCTATATGATCTAAGTATTTAACTTGTTGGTAAAATATATTGATAAACAGAGGGAATCTACCTAATTCACCCATTGTAGCTAAATTACTCGTTTTTCTATGCACCCCTAATAAAAACTTCAAAAAAGATAGATGTAATAATATCGTTGGAAGTGTCTTGTCATATTTCATTTCAAGGCCAAATTCTTTATTTTTCAGAAGATCTTTATTAGTTATTAGACCAGCACCCCAAATTTCACATCCATATAATAAAATTGGTTTTACTAATATATCAAATAATTTCAGACACAAGGTTAGGTTACACCATGTGTAAGCATACTTATCAATTTGAATTTCGCCTTTTTTGCCTTTTCTTTGATAAAGTTGCAGCTTGTTTCATCGATCCGCTGGCATGGAATTCCATACCCAAGTAAGTATACTTTGATACGTTTATATGATCAGTGTTTATATGATCGTGTTATATGATCAGTGAAACATGCGTCGATGCAACAAGTAGCACTGGCGCCAACATTGGATGCAGGGTTTGTGTAAAAAAACGGGTGACTGGGTTACCGGGTACCTAACATTCCTAGCAGGGTTACCAAATTTCAAGTTCAAGTTTCAAGTTGCACATTTTTCCCTAATATAGTAGCCAATTGATATGTCGAGCACTAAATGGACATAGCCTCCCTCATGTAGACTACTATTCGATATTTTTTTACCAAGAACTTGTAAGATATAGAGCACTTTTAAAATAATCTACTACTTTATCAATATCAGAAAAAACTAAATTGTTACCTGGTTACTCAAGATATCCACTGAATTAACATGAACACGTTACAAACTGAATTCGCAAGTCCTAAGTAGTTTACATTTTACACAGTTTACGTATATACATGTACAACGACATAATTTGCTTGATTTGTTGTCTGAGTGATTGACAGGATATCGATGATTGTTTTCTATGGCGATTTCTACTATTCTAGAAATTTTGTTTAATATATATTACGGACACGTAAATTGAAACGTTATTTGCCGTTTTAAACTGTCAATTAACATGCGATGTACAATACAACGTTAGTTGCTTGATTAATTGCCATCAAGTGATTGACAGAATATTGACCTTTGTTTGTTTTGCTGGTTGGTTAATTGGAATATTAGTTGCTTGGTTGGTTGTTTGCTTTATTGGTTTTATGACTGGTGGTACGTTGAGTTAGAGGTCAGTTTGTCATTTTGAGGGATAAAATTGATAAAATCAAAAAATCAAATTCATAACCCTGGTAGGAATGTTAGGTACCCAGTCACCCGGCTACCCGGTTACCCGGTCACCCGTTTTTTTATACAAACCCTTCGATGCACCGACAGAATTCATCGTTGCACCGATCGATGAATCGATCGTTTTTGCCGACTCACCGATCGACGCATCGATAGATGCACCGAGACAGTGCACCGCGATGCACTAAAATGAGATCCTCGGCGTGACCTGTACTGTATTCCAATATAAATAATACGGAAAATATCATTAGGCCTGAATAGACAAACATTGACAATTCACATCAAAATATAGATATAGTACATTGACATTTGTTATGTTGTGTATTTTATTGAAATATTGCATCAGCCTGTATTTACAAAAAATGAAATGATGATATATATACTTTTCATTTTAAAACTTGGAAACGACATTGTACGATTGTACTTAAGTACTATTGTTTAAACGGTATTGTTCATTGTTGTTAAAAACGGTGTTGTACGACGTTGTTTAAACATTAAACTTTCACCCTGAAAAATATCAAAACACTCCTTGATAAATCCTGACTACGCCACAGGAATATATAATAATGTGTCATGGTCACAAATGTCTTCCATAATCTCGTACCTCACCTTAATGAAGCAGCTGTCAATTTACTTATAAAGGTACATACTTCTTATGTTTTTAAGTTACCGTATTCTCTCTAATGAGCACACTGCTCCAATGAGCGCACATGGGACTTGTTGGAAACGGTCTCAAGAAACACAAAGTTTTTCATTCTTACATCCGATTCTTGTGAGATGTTATTAGACCTTGCTGACTTAAAGAAGAAAACAATAGAGCCATTAATCCCCCCCCCCCAAGAGGGTGTCATCACTGAACGAAACAACGCGAATCAAAGTGATAAATTACCCGGTTATTCAACCCCTTGATCATACTTTACATGGAGTTACAAACAAATTGCTTATCAAAATATTATATATTTATCTAAGACTTACATAGAATTTTATGATTGTCTCAGCTGACATTAACAGATCGGCCATAGTTGCAAAAAATGTTCTAATATTTTTGCCGGCCACGTACATTCATCCCACAAAATGAAAATGTTTTGAGAATGTAATATATATAAAATTCAAGGAAAATGTACCACGACGACCGGGTGATGGCCTTTATTTATAGACTATTATTATCTGTGACCGGGTTACATTTGAGAATATATTCACCAGACAGAATTTATCGAATTATTAATTTGTTAACACTAATGATCACAGTGACGATATAAGAATCATGGAGAAACAATTGATATTCAATTATATATTGCGTTATTGACGCCATCGCTGAAATAAATAGGCTACTGTGCAAATAAACAGCCTAGGGGCTTTCTCAAAAACATTCATTCCATTGCCCTCGGTAATGCGTTATCGCATTGCTGTAAATGTGATGATCCGAGGGTGCCTCCGAGAATGGCTAATTGACAAAAACAGACAAGAAAGAGAGGGTGCTAAAATCAACGCCTTGTGCGGGAATCGAACCCAGGACATTCCAGTTCAAAGGCTGATGCTCTGCCTGGGGTCATCAACATCAAAGATAGTGACAAAGACTTTTTTATATCAAGTGGAACACTGAGTTCATATTCATCCCATTTGACGCAATTTAAGCTGCATGAAGAGAGCACAAGGACATCATGAAAATATAGGTAAATTCATCCAAAATACTTAAGAGTTGGTGGATTTTTAACATTGAAGTCTATGGTAGTCTGGCCCAACCAAAATGAATAAAAACAAGCGGTGACATCTATTCAGCTATAAAGCGACTCACCTATTAGTCACAAGGCAAAAATTAGCCTTAACCTCACCCTGCAGAATTAGTATCTGTTTTCTTTGACAGATGGAGTCGAAGTTTTTTCCCGATCCCTTACCCAGCCATTTATGATTAAGGTTCGATTTGGAAACTTAACAAGGCACAATAGATTGTGATATTGATCAAATCTGGTGAATCTGAACAACCGATAGGAAAATTCGATCGGAAGTTCTATATGCACAATGATGGTACAAATACACATAGGAGCTTCACACGCAAGTTCACATTTATGTTCACATTACGTTCACATTTATGTACACTACCTTCCATAAGTTTGGCAACAGGAAGTCCCCTTTTGGGTTGAAATATTAGGTAGTTTAAGCTTGCATATAAAATCTAAACGCCAACCTATACGTATTAAAGTTCTTAAAGTTATTATTCTTAGTTATTAGAGACTGTTTGTTTTTCGATTTAAAAAAATCGATTAAAGTCGTACTTTTTGAACTAATGTAATTACAAAATTGTGATTCATAATTGACAGGCCGCTTTGATATGTTATACAATGAAAACTCCTGGTTGCCAAACTTATGGAGGGGAGTGTACATGGAGTTATCCTATTGTATTGTCATATGGTCTCGGAATAAAAACATGTGCCTATTAATCACGATGTAGTGTACTTTGGATCGAACACACTGCACGAAAAGCTAGAATGGAGAAAACATGGACAAATCATGAACAAGTTAATCATAAACAAGTTAAATGAGCTCATGATCTATTGAACGAAGGTTGTCAACGGCGACGCTAGTGGTATAAATGATGTGGAAAACTGAATATATGGGACTTTAAGTAGTTATAATCTCATAAAAACTTGGGAAATAAAATTTTGCTAATCGCATCACTTGATAACCAAGCGGTATCTTTGTGCTGCGACCGAATTCAAATAATTTTAGTTATGTTAAAATATTGAAAAGATTCAGCATCAAATAATGAAGAAAGACGTCTCAACTCAAGAGTTGGGCAAGGCCAATGAAGATGGTGATTCAGCCGACCAAACCGATAGTAACATTACAAACATCTCAAAAAGCTTCGCGGAGAGCACCACCTTACATGGAGTGTCCAAGGTATTTGGGAGCAGGAGCAACGTAAGGAAATGTATTTGGGGGTTGATTTTCATCGGCAGTGTTATCGGGTTCATAGCTCAATCAGTTACATTATTCGTGAGGTATTTGGATTATCCTAATGATGTCAGCGTGGGGATCATAAATCCGAATTACCTGGAGTTCCCTGCCGTGACGATCTGTAACCACAATGCAATGAAATTATCTAAATTGAAAGACACACGTTTTCAGGAATTTGTAGATCTTCAATCTCAGTTTAATAGTAAAAAGGTAAAACCATCAACACAAACGCCAGTCAGCACACCATCTCCCGATTGGACGGATTCACTGACAACATCAGCTGCAGATGGTTTCACATCTGCAAAAAACGGTACGTCGACAACAGTCTCCGCAAATAATACGACATCTACAACTGACTCCACAACAAGGGGACCTCGGAGACGGCGCGGAGCTGAGCATCATGATGAACCTCTAAATTTGACAAGTAAATGATAATGCATTTTCTTAACAGATGTAATGTTCTATCAATTAATCCGGGTAAATTATTCTACTCGTGCAAAAATGTACGGGTATCCTCTCATTAGAACGAAATATTCGTTTCACCATTAACTGTTATGTTTCTATCAAAGTCTGTAACAAGAAAGAGTACTTTTATCAAAATATGACTTAGCCCCATCATGTCCTATGGGCATCATGTTGCAAAATCCCACGCAGAAACGTGAATTAAATAATGCCTGAGTCACATTTGCACCGATTCATCGGCCGGCGGCCGGCCGATTGAGTGTTTATTCAATTTTGAACAAAATACTCAATCGGCCGGGCGCCGTAGTGAAAATCGGAGCAAATGTGACCAAGGCATTAGCCCCATCATGTCTTATAGGCATCATGGGGCAAAATCCCACGCAGAAACGTGAATTAAATAATGCCTGGGTCACATTTGCCCCGATTCATCGGCCGGCGCCCGGCCGATTGAGTATTTTGTTCAAAATCGTATTCAGTTTTGAATATAATACTCAATCGGCCGGGCGCTGTGGTGAAAATCTGAGCAAATGTGGCCAAGGCATTAGAAAAGGACACGATACACTGTTCTATTTCAGCGTCGAAATTCAAACGAGTTCAAACGATAACATGCCATTCAATGTTAGTGTCTTTTTAGGTTTATTCGAATCCTCTCAGACATCAGACCCCGGTGATGTACTGGAAATTATTAATCCAACACAAGAGGAAATACGAGAGTATGGGTATACAGTGGAGGAATTTATCAGGCAATGCAGTTTTGATAAATTGTTGTGTGATATAAGGTATAACTTCCGTTATGGTAGTTCAGATTTTTAGTTTGGTTACTCCATCCACATTCCACATGTTCAGAATTTTCAATGGCTTCCTAATTGTAGTGCTGTACTTGTACCTCAAAATACCATGACTCCCAATTAAGAGCTGTAAATAAAGAGACAATATAATACAATTTAAAAAGGAGAAATTTCAGCGGCCTACCTTTTTGTACTTTTGAAAAGAAGGTCGCTGAATTTTCTAAAGATAATTTTATATTTATTAAAATCATTAACCCTCAACTAATAATAAAGGCACATTACTTTATACTCTGTGCAAAACTAGAAGATGAAGACAATGCATGGAATAAGTCTCATGTACCTAAACATCACACGGAGACTTTTGTAAATTATATGTGTCTCTCACAATGGCTCACTGCTACCCACCTAATTACACAGACGTATCGTCGGTGTATCATGGCGGAACTTCCTCCGGGACTAGGTTTCGGTAAGATTTTTTTATTTCCCGATTTACACCTACTTATAAGTCACGTTGTGGATAATGATTTGGCTCGAAGTTAAGGAAGATAGTCTAGTTTGAGAATGTGTCGATGGTTTTAGGTTTTATATGTTAACAAAGACACAATTCACGTATTTAGTCCCTCGCTTTTCTTACACTGACGAACGACCAATGTCAGTGTAATATTGGCAATATTAATGCCGATCGTCAGTGTAAGAAAAGCGAGGGACTAAATACGTGAATTGTGTCTTCGTTAACATATAAAACCTAAAACCATCGACACATTCTCAAACTAGACTATCTTCCTTAACTTTGAGCCAAATTATTATCCACAACGTGGCTTATAAGTAGGTGTAAATCGGGAAATAAAAAAATCTTACCGAAACCTAGTCCCGGAGGAAGTTCCGCCATGATACACCGACGATACGTCTGTGTAATTAGGTGGGTAGCAGTGATGGCTGTCGCATGCAATATAATACATTTCTCTAGGGTTTTCAGTCCGTATGGCTAAGTAGTAAAGTGCTGTAAAATATGCATAGTATACTATATGGTTACGCTAAGTGTCACGATAAATGTCATTTTTTTATTTATATTTTTTACCATTATATCTGAAAAAATTGTTTCTATACAGCAACGTGGGTTATTTCTAATAAGATATTTTAATTTCAATGAGAAAATGCTTTTTTCAAATAAAAAAATGCACAATTCAGATTCTCTTCTCAAAAAGTTATGAGCATTCAATGGGAAACCAAAATAATATTTTTGAAAATTCACCGTCCGGATCTTGAGAAAAAAATAACTCAGAATCAGTTTGGAAATATTATTCCATTGTATATAATGACTCATATTGCCCTAAAATGCCTTGATAGATCAGAACAATCTATACAATCTGTTGTCAGGCAATAGTGACATTTCTATTGTAGGAAAATATCGAAATTGCATTCTGGGAGTCAATCCTCCTTGTTCCGTATCTATTTGATTTGGAATTTGAAAGTGCTGCCATCTCTTTATCTAACTGATACATATGCTGGATTGTGAGAAGTACACCGTGTCCCATATATAATAGGGAGTTTAAGCTTGCATATAAAATTGAAACGCCAACCTGTACCAATCGCCCACACAAATGCATCGCTTAAATAACTTCCGTTCACGTTTAGCTTGTGAAAAACAGTGCCTGGTTAAACTCCATAATATTTCAACCCAACATCCTAAGATGGTAACTGAGAAATGTTGTCCTAATGTTTTTCATTTTAGTGATTTTAAGAGTTTTCAAGACCCGAAGTTTGGGAACTGTTTCACGTACAATCAAGGGAGTGGAGATGATGTTATCAAAACTTCGCATTTTGGAACAAATTATGGTGAGTTCTCGTAAAATCTCCGTAAATGTAAAACACTTGTAGGACACTAGCCTTTGATTGAGTCCTGAGTTCAGTCCTTTATTTTTTATTATTCTTCGAAAAAGTGGTATATTGTCGCTGTCTTGTGCAAGGTATGCAATCTGGGCAAGCGGGCGTATGGGCTCCACATAATTATTCCAGTAAGAACGCTCATGTTCATATTGAAATTTTTAAACATGCAAAAACAGTCTGGTGCTAATACAATAATAGATCTGATGTAATAGATCTGGTTAGGTTTTGGACATGCTGGGGGAATTTACTCACTTCGAGAGCCATGTTAGATTTTGAAACTTATGGCTATCAAACGGGGAAGTGAACAGCTGATTAATAGTGACCTTTGAAATCGAATTAAGTCGATCCGCGGCTTACTTTTGGTCTCTAACTGTGTCTTACATCAGTATCATCAATCCGTGTAAGTATTGGGGCGCTGAAGTACTTCCTTTTCGATCAAGACTTGTAATTGTTAGTCGAGTGAAAGTTTTTACTGCCAAATTCCAATATGGCTTTTTCTGCTCGGACATTTTCGTAAATCTCCGGAGGTTGTCCGAACATAACTAATTCTCAAAATTCATTTCGTTCGTTGCGTATCTCGCTCCTAGCAAACCGCCATATTGGAAATAGGTCTAAAAAACATTCACTCGATGAACAATTTACAAGTCTTGATCGAAAAAGAAGTATTTCAGCGCTTTAATACTTACACGGATTGATGATACTGATGTATTTTTATAAGACACAGTTAGAGACCAAAAGTAAGCCGCGGATCGACTTAATTCGATTTCAAAGGTCACAATCATTCAGCTGTCCAAATGATCCGTGGGAAAGCTATTATATCAAAATCCAAATAGCTTTCGCAGGAAGTAAGGGGGAATTACATGGCGGCCATTTTGGTCTTTAAAGTGGGATATTTATCAGCATACAGTATGTTGTTGCAATTCTTATTTAGGATTACGATTGACGTTGGATCTAGCAGACTCTGAATATATTGGTGCACTGACGCATGACATAGGAGCCTGGGTGATCATCCATCCTGCAAACGTAACCGCCCTCCCCATGCATCAGGGTTTCAGCGTTTCCCCTGGGATGTTAACCCAAATTGGCACACGTTTGGTAAGTGATTGAGAGAAACCAAGACAAAGACAAAGGGTCTTTCATTAGATATTGTAAGTTTTCAAAAATTAAAATACGTCTTATGTGCCAGTTTTCATAACGTTTGATTAGGCCATTTTGATTTGTGGTGAGGCGACATTTTGATAATCATTAATTAAAATATCTGGTGAGATTTGGTGAGACCTACCTGTAGATGCCCTTGGCGAGACAGATGTACTATATAAACTAAAAAGGTTATGCTTGCAATTCGCGAATGCAAGCTTAAACTCGGCAATAGAGGAGTTTCCAAATAGCTTTGAAATCTCACTATTTCTCGTTTTTTCATGTGATTTTAAGAGATTTGCACTTTTAACCTCTAACGACTAACTTTTCTTTCTTTTTAATAGCATATTTGAATTAAGTGATATGTTCTCCACAATAACTTTTGATTTATACAGGAATGTCATTTAAATATATATGAGTTAGTTATTTTCAAAAGGTGGAGTGAAGTGTAGTACCTAGTTTGGTCAATAGAGGGAACTATTATCTGTCCCCGGGAAAGTTTCCCCGGGAATGTTACTCCAACTGAGTAATTCAGTCAGTAAATTGGCTTAAACTACTATACAATTTCAATCCCAGAACTTGTTGTATTATGCATGAGTTCTATGTGCAGGATTGGATAGCTTTTACCAACACGTGTCACTCGTCGGGCGAGGTGTACCGTGATGAGTTGCACATTCAATATCGCAATTATTTGGCCTTTTCGAATTAACAACTTAGACCACACTGGAGGATCCAGAAGAAAATTTAACCCCCATTCTTTGAAAATTTGGCCTAGGTTGTCAAATCATTCCCAAAAAGGCTCGGTTTTTATGAGGCCCTATGTAATTTTTTACCAAAACATTTTTTGGGCCCTATGATGTTTTTCTTGGCCCACAAGGTGGGTGGGGGGGGGGGGCAAGATGGATCTGGATCCGCCAGTGGACCATGTATGATTACAAAAATAGGCGTATAAACACAGTGAACAATCGTAGAACTACTGATATGCCCGTCATTCAATGATTTACGTGTACGCTATGAACAACTTCCATTGTGTGTTTCATTTGGACGCATCCCGTCCTATACGTATACTTGAAGTATTGCCGCCCTTAAACTTTATGAGAATGACTTATACCGTTTGCATAGCGTCCCGAAGGCGATGATAGAGAAGGCGTGGCTTTCCAAGGCAGGGAAGCACAATTTTACAAATGTAAATCCTTTACAAAGTTCAAAACACAGCGCGTATTTAATTAATTTCGCTATACATTTTCATTTAGTTAAGGTACTGAAAAACAGTTAAAAGATCAGCAAAACATGCAGAGAAAATACAAAGGAAATATTCATTTACACGGAGTTTCAATCTCCTTTATGGCATAGTTGAATGAAACATTTGGAAACTAAAAAACGAACTGTAACGTATAGAACGTTTAAAGGAAATGGCGAAATATTTTCCTCATACTAACAACATACAGTTTGGACGATATGAAATAGATAGCAACTTAACATAATTCGGCGCATCATTGAAAAACGTATACCGTCCTTCATAACAGATTTGAATCAGACTTTTGGGAAGTGATATGCATTTGACTGACATAATATATAAATAATATAACAGACGCTTTCATGATTTTAAATAGCTACACATACAGCAAGCATTTGTTTAAAATAAGATTTAAGAAGAATGGATAAGCCTTCTAATGGTGTGCTGATAATATTGTTTTGGTTCTGGTAAAATGGAGATAAAAGTATTTCTAATAAATAGCTTAATCTTTCAATCGCTCCCTGCTTTTGAAGAGTGCCCCGTTGCTTACGAATCCCTATGTTGGTGGGGAATGAATACAGAGTTGACATTTTAAAATTAATGTTTATATGGATGCTCTTAAACCTGCCAGTGACAAATAAATACAAATGGATGATGCTTTTTAGAATGACAGTTAAGTTGACCGTATACGAATGACCCCTCCAATTGCACAAATGTGATGTATTGCTTTGAAATACGACCTTATTGCGCCCTTATTGAAAATGTTAAACTTATGGTTAACGGTAAACGCATCCCTGCTTGGGACGTTTGATCTGTAGTCGTGTGAAAGACCTTCAGGAGACAATTTTCAGAATAAGGTGCATGTTACATCCAGGCCTTTCTCATTTTCTAACTGTCCATAAAACACCAAACACATGGTGGATCTTAGCTGAAGAGTTTACAAAAAGGTTAAACAGCCGTAGTTTATATTTAATTATTGACGGGTCAATTCAATTTGATCTTTTGTAAGAAATGGAATAGGTTGAATTATAATCTACATTATTACCACCTTGCAGGGCCTGTTCTATGGGTTTTAGTACTAGTTGAGAAGGCATTTAAATTGCTATATTGACGTGAGCAATATTGTGTCGGGTGTTAATGACTTTAGTCGGGCAATAATGACATTATCCGCCCGGCTATGTTTCCCGAAAAAGTGATATCGTTCAGTGCGTAAGATATTCTATTTCAAATTTGCTATTTCAGCCCTGGGCATTAACGGTGGTAATAATAGTAATAACGTCATTTCTGCGGGCAAGATAGTGAAATATTGGACCTTGGGCCCTTGGTCCAATATTTCACTATATTGCCCGCAGAAATGACGTTATTGTACTAGTGTCATACATACATTATTTTACCACCTTTCTCAGCCGTCCCTTAATATGTCTCCTTCTTTTTTCAATATATTCCTTGTAAAAAGTATCTAATTTCAAAGGCAAGACGTCGTCTTTTGATTACTTTTACTGATTTTGACATTCAAAGTAAGGACACTGAAAAGCCGAGGTCCAAATCTAGGTCTTTACGGGGTTCTCTAAATTTAACGCGTGGGTTATGAAAAAGGTGTACAATCTTTTCAGAAATCCTAATCTGAAATCAGAATTGAAATCTGAATTCCGTTTTAGATTCTATGGTGCTTTGCATTTCGAAAAACCAATATGATGATAACCAAATATTACTTTATGGGTTAAGTCAGTTACGTAATCAGCTACCTACGTACTTACTCACCAATCGACTCAACTAAAAAACGATTATAATATGAATAATTAGTTACGTATAAAACAAATATTTTGGTGAAAGTACACGCTTTATTTGATACATACTCTTTGGCATGGAGAGAAATAGCATATTTAGTGTACTATAGTAAGATCACTGCTACCCACCTAGTTACACAGACGTATCGTCAGTGTATCATGGCGGAACTACTTCTGGGACTAGGTTTCGGTAAGATTTTTTATTTCCCGATTTACACCTACTTATAAGTCACGTTGCGGATAATAATTTGGCTCGAAGTTAAGGAAGATAGTCTAGTTTGAGAATGTGAAAAAAATATGAAATCAAATTACATTTTCAACTTGATACGGCTGATACGGGATCGAATATGGTTTGTTACGGAACTTTGGATGAATGGGATCTTTTACGGGATTCTTTGAATATAAATTCTATTCTCTGCCTATTTCCCAGGGAGAACGTGTTATTATGCAATAAGGAAATATATACGAGTTGACGATCGAGCGAGCGTAAAAAATGAGTACAGATATTGATATCAGTGAGTCAATTAAAAATGGTATCAGGAAATATTATATTCACATGTTATCATACAGATTTTACAAGATCATACAATATATTGTAACGTTTTATATACAGTTGTTGTTCAAGCCTATTGTCTTTGCTTTTTTATTGTTTTGAATTATGAGATACTTTTAGCATTTCATGCCGATCTTTCTTATTGACGTACATTCAAAATACATGTTCTTTGAAGTATTTAATTTCACGTTGATACATTGTACCGTTTTACGCTATTTTAGTATTTGGTTGAATTTCTTTTATATTGCGTTAAATAGTATTTTGCACTGCAATATATTAGATGTAATGAATTTGTTATTGGGTACTTTTTTTTATCCCATACTTGGACGTGTTACAGGTACATAAAGCCGGTTTGTAAAAACTTATATTTTCATAGGCGGGCAGATATAGCTTTACGTCCCGCTCCGAGCGGGCAGATATAGTATATCTGCCCGCTACGTCATAATCGCTGTTCCCGTATTGGTTCTTTTTTGTAACGTTCGCATATCGTAAACGGCAATGGAGAAAAACGCAGACAATCGCGATCTATTTGATGCTTTAAAGAAGGGAAGGAGCAGTATGCCCCGTTAATAATCAAAGATTTGAACAGGAAAATCCGGCAACGGACAAGAATACAAAACTGGACATGAATATTTTATCATAATTCCACGGTTGGTTGCAAAGTTTCTGAACAATGGCGTAGAATAATGGAAATAGCGTCATGAATCCCGGGACAATGAATCTTGGATCCAAGTACGGGTCGAAAATCAAAATATTGACAAATTTATAACCTAAAAGGCCGAAAGATTATGCGGCAAATATTGAAACGGGGGTTGTATTATTGTATTAGCTTTGATCTCTTAGAATCCGTTGAATCCTAAGCGATTGGAGTTGTTTAGATCACTTCACGAATGATATGAAATGATGAGGATTTGGGTTTTTTCAAAGTCTATAATGGCGGCCAATGGGGGATTTTAGCAAAATATCCCGAAAATTAAATCATTAAAAGCCCGAAAGATCTGTGGATGGATTTTGCTGTTTTATATATCAAAATGAACACTTCGTTGGGTTTAACAAGGATCCGTTGAATCCTAAGAAAATAAATTATTTGCTAAAAAGTTATTAAGATTTTAAATTTTGATGAAGACTGCTCTCCATTGAAATCTTTGGACCATGAAATGTCGATTTACGCGCATGCGTTGTGACGTTATTTTCATTATTCTACGCCATGTGTGGCCAATCGAACAGTGTGATTGGTATGGGATAAACAGATCATCCTATAGTCGGTTCAGGATATTGGGATTATCCCTTGGCCAATATAATATATCTACCCTCGGGAGCTACGGCCCTCGGGCAGATATATTATATTGGCCTCGGGATAATCCCAATATCCTGAACCTCATATAGGATAATCTCTATATATTCTCTCGGGTTGCCTTTTATTTAGCCTATGTGTTACTGTACAACAACATGTTATTATCATTTGTTTTTAAATTATTGTAACTGAACGAGATACACTATTCTCCATAAACTTAGCATCCTTAGCTCCCCCATTGAACTGCGTGTTAAAGCATCTTTACTTAACTTGCGATGAAAATATTTATTACTATTGATGAAAACGTAATATGACTTTATTTCCAATATCTCCAAATCTCCAAAAGTTTTTCCTTCAATTACAATAGGTCGAAAATTGGTGATAAAGATGAATTTTTGAAAATTGTCATTCCCATGTAAACCAATGGAAAAAATTGTGGGTTCGGGGCAAATCAGATATCAATTAAGTAAAAGATTAAAATATTTTTACATAGAAAATAGAATTCACTAATATTTTCATTCACTAAGTCTTGGTTTTACTTGATGAATACAAAAGTTGCAGAGCGTCAAAGTCATTTTTGAAAATCATTTTTCGCCTCTTGTGTTATTTCAATAGGAGATGTTTTGAAAAAGCAATTTTGACTTTAAACACCTATAACTTTGTTGAACCTGAAGAAACGTACCAATTTTTGTAAAATAAGTTGCAAATTCAGTTGCCTACCTAACTTGTATATTTTTGCAAGGACTCGGATGACTGTTTTTTTCTCGTATGACTTGCGACATGTCGATCTTCAAAAAGTCATCAAAATCATTAATTCTCGACCTATTATAATTGAGGAAAAAATTAAGAAAATTTGGAGGAATCGGAAATAAGCTCAAATTACTTTTCCATCGATAATATGTATTTTCTTCGCAGATTAAGTAAATAAAAAGGTAAAGAGGCTTTAACACGTTGTTCAATGGGGGAGCAAAGGTTGCCAAACTTATGGAGGGGAGTGTACCATCGTTTTATAAAAGGTGGTTGTAAACGGTAACCCCGACACTGTTTTCCTCACACCTTAGCAAGTTGCTCACTCATATTTTGTGTACACCATTCAAATTCCTACCGGCCTATTATATTTCACGACCATCAAACTAATAGTCATAATGTTACAGCACTTTAAACAAAAAATAGAGTATACAAGCTTGAACTCAGGACAATTGATAACCTCAGAACGGAGATCATATCATCAGGCCACGCGTGCTGATGAATGAAGTCGGGTCGTTGAAAAGGTTGGGCGACATAGTGCTGTAACATAATTATGATTATTAGTCTGATGGTCATGAAATACGGTACACTGCTAGACTGGTAGCAAATTGAATGGTGTACAAATGTGCAAAATACGAGCAAAAATATGACGAAAATGCAGAAGTGCCGTTTCACCAAACTGTAATGTATTGTGTCATATTTACTAGAGTGTACAATAATATTGATTTTTGTTTTTTAATTTTGCATCGCATTACGTTAAAATACAATTCCCTCTATTAGTTTGGAAGATAATTGTGCATCACTTATTAGAAAAGCACAAAATAAAATCTTTCATCAGTAACGATAACATATAAATCATGCAACGAAAATACATACCAAACCTTTGAGGGCTAGTCATTAGTGATAGGCATTTGTTTGCATTAATTTTAGCGCATATTATCGCAATCATGTAAGGTATGTACCCGGGGGTATGTATCGCAATGTAGTACTACTGATTGTTCAAGTCAAATGCACAGGATTGCGTTATGTTGTACCATTTTACGATATTGTTTTTTTGCATTATATCGCTTTTTGTATAAGACTGTTTTATCTTAATGTTATTTTGTATTTTAAATACATGTTTCTTTATTTTGCAATAAAACAACGTTCTTTGTTCGTGATTTGCATGTTTAACAAGTATGTCAAATACGTTCTATGTCAAATACGTTCAACAATCATTTAAGTATCTCGCTACTAAGGTAAAGGTAATATATTGTAGTATAGCCGGAAGGGGAAACATTAGAGACTTCGCGGTGTATGTTAAAGTAGTGTGCATTTGAAATATTATAGTAAAAAGTAGTAGCAACAAAAATATGTATGAGTGTGCAATGACGTCTGTCAGGCATCTGGCTGCATTGCTCCGCCGTGAGTATCCCACAGGTCCAGGCATAGAACATCTCGGCGCCGTGTGACATCCTGGGCCTCATCCTATGAGAGGTCAAGTGTGGACAACATGACCGTCAGCCGTCTCAAAGTGGTGCATTGTGGTTATCATATTTGAGTATTTTACCATAAATGTGTTGTAAAATAATTAATGACGAGACCGTGGGGTTATACCGCTGTGTATTTAATAAAAGGTACGATATAAGTATAGCGTGTATATTGTAAACCACTTACACGGTTATGTGTAATAATGGGTTTATAAGTTGTATGCCACGCATAGCTGGATGCGTGGAATAATATAAAGGGGATATAAAAGTACAAGGAAAATGTGAACTAATTTACAGGGAAACTAGCTTGGAAGGACTGAAACTTGCGCTTCATTAGAACAGGGATATATTGATCCCGTAAAAACATTCACAGTAGTGGTACAAAATAGATTGCAATAAATGTAGATGTCACCGTAACTGCATAACATACCACATAAGGGCTGGAATAGGCCAGCCGGGTAATCACAAGCAGTCAAGGTAATAGAATGAAATTAAGTAACTGGTGCATTTTATTCAACCACCGTGTAATTTACACCAAATAGAAATATATGAGAGAGCTACTGCGATGCATTTATGCACCGTGAATTTAGCATGTTTGTTGCGTTGTGGTTGTGCACCGTGTAATACAAAGTAATTTTGGTAGGTACCACCAAAGTGAAGTTTAAGATAAGTAATATGTTTACTAGTATAAGTATATGTGAAATTGGAACACCTTTCGCACATATTGGTGCGGTATGGTAAGAGAATGGTAAAAGATATAGCAGGATCCAAGAAAGGATAGGGGGGGGGGTGACACACTCAGAATCACACAACAGGCAATAGTGTGCCCGACATAGAGTGTGATTCTTTTATTACAATAGAAGAACAATTCCTTCTAAGTGATTCTATGAGGGTAGCTTGACTACATCCAGAGTTTGCAATACGAATACGGCCCGCCATTCCATGCAATTTTATGATCACAATCTGTCTCCTCCAATTCACAAGATAAACTAGCCATATACAATTATATACATTGTTTATTTACATGTTCTATCCCTACCCCCAGTTAGCCTACATAATTGAATAAGTTTACATTCTATTTGATATGTAAATTCCCCGAAATATGAGAAAAATATCAGCAGCTCATAAAAGCGCCCTTACGTTCAAATTTCCCTCCCTTTCTCCAAGAGCTACAGGCCGCATGCGCAAAAGTGGGAATCACTAAAAGTTACAGGGGGCATGCGCGTGACGTCACTAATGGAATCTCCCAAGAAAGGTTTTTTAAAAGTTTGCAAATATGTCAATTACAGTGGAATACTTGCGAAATACTCAACATTCCGCAAAATTATACATGCATATAGATTCACAAAGCTACAAAGTAGAGAAATACGCTAAAAATGGTGATTGAAGAGATCGCTAAGACTCGAAACGGCGACCGAATTATCGCCCGGAACATTTCAAGAAATATTTGAGAATTGAAGTTGAGTTAATGGTAAGTGAAAGATACGAGGCATAAACATATTTAGGTCTTCCATCGACTGCTATACCCTCAAATACCACAATATGTTCAAACTGCGAGAGAAAATTACTCACTTTGATTACCGATTGAAATTGTAACTTGACAACGGATTAGGGATTATCATTTGTCATTGTCTTCGTCCTTTTTAAATTAAGGATCCATTGTCTTTGCATTTGGAAGACGGCATATGTGGCCGTATCTGGATTTGCCACTTCAAATCATTCAATAACGTTTTTATCGTGTGATCCTCTGTATTGCTACTGAGATTGTCCCTTCACCAATATTTTCTGTATTGCGACGGAGATGATCAACGGGGATAATCTCAGTAACAATACAGATTGGTACAGCACAAGAACTGACCATTACATTTACATTGGGCTGAAATATCCATATTTACCCACCATTTACAAAAATATTATTCGTCTGATCGCCTAATAATCCTATACCGAGTATCGCATTTAGTATCAATGACCAGGGTTGGTCTGACAAATCATTTTGGACATTTATATATTTCCTAACCACAAAATCAACATCTCTAACCTACAATTACGTTTCTCTTATTAATGTCTCCGGGATAGTGATCAAATCGACTTTCCAAAATCGCTTGGCAGCGGCGATTTCTAAAACTTTATACCTTTGCAAAGTAATCTAAAATGACCAATTCATTGACATGCAAAATGTCAGCTACAACCTACCATTTGTTACACACCATGACCGCCGAACGCCGATAATCACCGACAGCCGAAGGCGAATGCCATCCATAAAAAGTTAGAGATGGTTCACTCGATGGTTTCAAAAGTGTTTTGGTTTTGAAAACTGTCCATTATATCTAGTTATTGATATGAATTATATTTTTCCACAACCATGGGGTATTTATAGGATATCCTATGATTTTGAGGAATATCATTTTTATCTACGAGGTGATATTGGTATCTGCACGAGAGAGCAAAGAGAATGAGTGCATATATCACCGAGTAGATTAAAATGATATTCTGAAAAAATCATAGGATGTTCTTATTATCCTTCACAAGGAGTGTACAAAATGTATAATACCATTGCAAAATGAATTCCATGCCAAATAGAATCAATTTGGCGGGAAATCAACAAGCGGAGTATATCGTCACACTATCCTCCGCATATTGGGTTTCTGGAGTATATCGTGGCAATATCCTCCAGTTCAATATCTCTAACATCATGGAACGATTTCCACAAAAATCTATCCCCCGATCTATCCTAACGTAATGCATTGTTATTATTTCATTATTACCGTCATAATCATAGCGTATCATGTCAAAATAAAACTTAATCACTTATTCACCACATATTGTTTTTGCAACTGGAGTCAAAACGACGCTGGTAGATGTTTGAGACACGTTAGTAAATTACGAATAATTATAG